CAAACCCATGCCCCCGAAACTTGAAATATTCCCAACAATCCTTTGTTATCTCCTTTGCAGGGTTTTCTTTCCCACTTCCTTTCAATCTGACCCAATATGCTAGCGCTAGTTTCTCTCTCCTTAACTCCAGTGGTGTCTCTCCAGCTTCTATGAGTATTGTGTTAATGGGAGTTGTCTTAATGGCTCCAATGCATATCCGTAAGGCTCTGTATTGTAATTTATTAATTTTTTCCAATGTTGTTTTTGCTGCTGCATCATATACTATGCAACCATAATCTATTGATGACCTCATGCATGCTCTATATATGTCAATTAGTGACTGTTTATCTGCACCCCAGTTGCATCCCGCCACCGCTCTCAGTAAATTAATAACTTGTTTGCATTTAGTTTCCAATTGCTTTATGTGTGTTTTCCATGTGTACTTACTATCAAGCCACAATCCCAAATACTTAAATTCATTTACTTTTTCCATTGGCTGCTGATATAGAAAAAGATTTTCTACATGACACTTTCGCTTGTTTGTGAACACCATATAACAGGATTTGCTTGTTGATATTTTAAATCCCCACTTGAATGACCACTTCTCTACTTTCCCTATTGCTTTCCTAATGTTCTCTAACACATATGTCTCATTTCTTCCTCTCATCCATATGGCCCCATCATCTGCAGATAACGCTGATTTGATGTTTCCATCTAAATCTGAAAATATATCATTAATCATAATGTTGAATAATATAGGGCTAGTTGCGCTCCCCTGGGGAATGCCATTATTTACCTTAAACTCTGTAGAAATTTCTGATCCAACCTTTACTCTAATTTTCCTATCTGTTAAAAAGTCTAGTATCCAGTTATAAATCCTTCCTTCAAACCCCATTCTATTTAGTTTAATAAGTAGTCCTTCCCTCCTCATAGTATCATATGCCTTCTCAATGTCAAAATACACTATTATCATCAGCTCTTTCATTTTCAGTGCCTTTTCTACCTCATTACTTACTCTAACGAGAGCATCTGTTGTGGAGCGCCCTATCCGAAATCCATTTTGTATATTACTCAGTAGTCCTCTCTGTTCCATTACATGTGATAACCTACGAACTATTATCCTCTCCAACCATTTGCATAAGTGAGATGTCAGAGTTATGGGTCTATAATTACCAGGATTGGTTGGGTCTTTACCAGGTTTGCTAAACGGTAGTATAACTGCACTTTTCCAACTTCTCGGTATTATTCCATCCTTCCATATTTTATTGAACAGTCTTATCACTAGCTTATTTGACCCTACTGGCAGCTGTCGGAACATGGCATAACATAACTGGTCTTGTCCTGGGGCTGTATATCCCGTGCCAAGCAGAGCTATATTGAGTTCTGTTATTGTAAAATCCACATATAAAGTTGTTGTACCATCCTCAATCTTCTGCTTCACGTCCTTATTTTCTCTGAGTGCCAGGTCTTTCTGTTGCTTATGAATATCCATAAGGTGATCACCACTATGCACAGCCGCAAAAGCCCTACCCAACATCTCTGTCTTTTCTTTGTCTGACACCACCGTCTTTCCTCCATCTATCAAAGCTGGGATTTTAATCCTTTTCCTTTTCCCACTCATTCTTTTAAACATAGACCATATATCCCCTAACCCTACACCTCTACCTATGGTGGAACAGAACTCTCTCCAACTTTTCTTTTTGGTTAACTTAATTGTCCTACGTGCCACTGCCCTTTTCCTTTGAAAATCCAAAACACTCTCTTGTGATAAATTCTTCTTTAATGTTTTAAAGGCTTTGTTTCGTTCTTTTACAGCTCTGCTACACTCCTCATTCCACCAGGGAACCACTTTCTTCCTCCCCTTTGTTGTTCTTATTGGAATACTTAAATGTGCTGCATTTATAATGTGTTCTGTAATTTGCTTTGTGCATTCCTCTACATCACCTTCTAACGTCACAAGGTTTGCTGACTTCGTACAACATAACCTAAATTTTTCCCAGTCTGCTTTCTCAAAGCACCATCTGTTAATTGTACTTCCTTCTTGGAAACATACATTTGTGTTAATAATAGTGAGAACTGGAAAATGGTCACTTCCTATGGTAGAATCATTCATAACAAACCATTCACATGCGTTTACCAAATTATCTGATACCAATGTGATATCTAAACATGATGTTTTACCCCTATTCACATCCATTCGTGTTCCCTGTCCATTATTAATGCAGACCAGTGATCTTTCTTCCATCATTTCTTCAATTATGTCCCCATTATTATCTGTGTGATTGCTGCCCCATAAGCTGTTGTGTGCATTGAAGTCCCCACACCATATTTCTTTCCTGTATACAGTCCCTGCCATTTCATTCAGTTTATTGATATCTAAGTTTTTGCATGGGTTATAGAAATTAATCAATTTAATGTTTCCCTCTTTCCTTGGGCTATAGATTTCAGCTATTATACATTTTGAATCTTCTGAGCTTGGGGATTCCCTGTAGGCCAACCTATCCTTGATAAAGGTGAAGCGCCCTCCACCAGTTTGGTTGTTAGGTCTATCGTACCTTATAGAGCTAAACCCTGGTATCACATAATCTGGGTCTGTCTCGTAACCAAGTTTCTTGTACACATATTGCATCTGGAACAACATCTAATTCATGAATGTACTTTTTGAATTCTTGACCATTAGCTATAAGACTTCATGCGTTCCACTGTAGTATGTGAAGAACCATTATAAGTGTCCTAACCCTCAGTTTGTGTATTTCCATTTTCAGTTACCGTCAACAATGCATGTATTTGATCTGCTTTGATATCTTTCATATCAAGAAGTTTTCCTGCTGCTTCTACAATAGCCTTAATTCTGTCACTTTTCTTTTTCAACTGGGTCGCAACATTGAGGGGTGTGACATATGAAACCCACAAAGTTCACTTTTTTCACTATCAACATATCATCGTCAACTTTACATTTATGCTCGCAACCATTCTGTGTGTGTGCTGGAATCTGGTTTTGTGTCTGATTAACTGGTGTTATGTTTCTTTGGACAATTCCACTGGAGTTTTTGTTATTTGATCCTGTTTATCTTACTTTCTTTAGAGCTTCTGCATATGATACTTTGTTCAATATCTTCACCTTTTGGGCTTCTCTGGCTTCTCTTTGCACTTCACATCCACCAAATGCAGCACTATGCTCTCCTCCACAGTTACAACATTTAATCTTTGCATCCTTTTCACATTTCCCATACTCGTGCTGGCCCCCACTTCTAGCACACCTTAGCTTTCCTTTGCACTGCTGAGCTGTGTGCCCCATCCTTTGACATTTATAGCATCTGATAGGGGGAGGGATGTATTCTCTCACGCTGTAATTTATGTATCCCATTTGGACTGACTTAGGGAGGGTTCTCTCAAATTGCACAACCACAGATAGTGTGTCTTTTAATGATCCATCTCGTTTGCTTTTTAGTCTAGTAGCCTCAACTGCTTTGCCTCCCTGAATCTCATTTTTAACATCTTCCATTGACATATTCAAAGGGATATAACTCCTTTAACCTTTGCTGTTGCTCCTGGGATGTGGGCCTTCATACTTTCCCCTTGAAGTGTGGACATACTAAGAATCTTTTCTTATTGTTGTTTGCTGCTTGCATGTATCAGTATTCGTTTATTGTTCAAAAATCTTGCAAATTTGATTTTGCCATCTCCTTCTCAATCGCCTTGGTAAGTTTAATTGGGTGATAGTGTCCACCATCCTGATTGAACTCAATTATAACTTTCCAATCGTTTCCTTGCACTTTCTCCGTATTCTCAGGCTTCTGTTTCTCACTCTGGCTAGATCTCAGTTTCTTGTTATTACTTCCCTCGCCGGTCTCGCTATGTTCTGACCAACTTTTCCCTCTCTGTCTCTCTCTCTCTCAAGTCCCTTTTCAATCTTATAGATCTGGACATCATCCACTCCATCTCATCCCCATCTGAACTATTTGACATGATGTTACATTCACAGTACAGTTTATGCAGATCCGCCAACAAAGTTCGATCCTACTATGTTTTCCAGCCACCGTTTGTTCACTCTCTCCACGTAGGTCCAAACCTCCGCGCTTTCCCGCTCCCGTCAGCGATCTTGAATAACAAGGACAGGGTTTACTAAATCACAACTAAGAGGAGCACGTGATCCGGCCACTAGAAAGAGAGGACAAAATCCACCAAGGGTTAAAGCTTAAGTGATGACAAATCATTTTTGTCATTAAAACAGATTTTGGTGATCCGTCAAAAAACTGAAACAAAGAGCTGACTAACACAAAACAAAATGAATGCAGCATCTTTTTGTTGTTGGCTTTCCCAAAACTTTTTCAAATTCTTAGCAGTGATATGTAAAATGTTAAATGGATAAGTTTGAGGATAAGTCAAATCACAAAAAAAAATCGCAACAAAAAGAGGGAAAACTTTATATAAAAGATTCCATAATGGTCTAACAGCAGGCATAAACAAAAACCATTGAATTCAATCCAATTTTATTTACATAGCACCAAATCACAACAGAAGTTCACAGGGAACTTTTCATATAGAGCAGGTCTAGACATACTCTATTTAATAGTATTTCTAAGACTGATATTGCATGATTTATGTCCTGCCCTTCTGTCCAGCACTTCAAACCTGATGATCTGGATATAAAGTAGTGGTAGAGTTGAATTTCACACAAATACTTGAATAAATCATGTGTGCCAGCAACATAATGTTTTAATATGAATGATCACCTTTTCAAAGCTTGTATGGGCTCAGCAACCTGTCGTATTATGTTAACATATCCTCAGCAAAGTTTAGTTTGAAGTTGATATAAAGTTCAATAACTTGCAGCCCTCTCTCCAAGCTGGGAAAATGCAACTTAACTATAAGCTGACGAGGTGGAAGAGACACTGCGCCACATGGCCTGTGGTTGGCTGGGTGAAGCCTCAGAAGAGGCAGCTGGTGTCCTGAGCCTGAATGTATGCGTTTCAAGAAGCTGAATTATGAAAACTGAACTCTGAATCAGGAAACCGAGGTTGAAGTTAAATGTTTAATTCAGTAAACACATTGTCTTTTTTTACAAGTCCAAAATCTCAACTTTACAGGAATAAAGAAAAACAGCATTTTGAGATTGGTCACCGCACATTTTTTTAAATCTAAAGCAGTTTTAAAATCAAAACGGGCGTTGGAGTTTAAATGCCATCATACATTTTTAAACTTCATTTAACTTTTAACTTATTTCATGAAAATAATTTAGCTTGAATTAAAATGTATGCAACTGAAATACAATATCTGCTCAACAGTTTCATTCAAGTTTACAAGCCGGAGATCTGCCACTTTTAAGTTTTCACATGTACTACCACCAGGTAAAATGGATGTTAATCATGATGTTGTGAAAAAAGTAACTTTGTTAAAGGACAGAATTTTGCCTCCATTATTAGACAGACACATGGTTGTTTTTGAACATGGACACTCCGTCTTCACAACATTTTCTCCCTACAATAAAATGCTCTCTTTAATTTGAACTGTCATTTGCTCTTCAGAATGACTATCCTCATCATCATCATCATCATCATCAGTACTACTTGTACAACAGGGCTCCTCTCGTTGAAAACACAATACATTCTCCTGTAGGTTTTAACAAACAGAACAGCCATAATACTGGACTAGAACAGCGGCAGCTTCCCAGGAGGCTTTTCAGAAAATGTTTAATAAGAGCTCACGGGTACAATTAAAAAGTGAACATCAAAATGTCCAAAAAATGCAACATTTTTAATTCAAGTGTAATCTCAACATTGTCTTCATAGTATAATGATGTACTGAATTGCATGACTGAATATTACAGGACCTTTAATAGAAAGCTTTGCTGCTCTAACATTAACAGGTGCATCCACTTGTGTCATCTTTAAAAACATAAAATAAATTCCATATAAAGACATACATGTGGCCTCTATTAAAAAAATAATTATTTTGAAGCCGTAGTTACCCTTTAAAATGATTAGACTCAGTGCTTCACTACAAAAAGGTGAGCCGGTTGTGTAAGCCCTGGCCGTGACACAGAGGCAACAGTCCCTGCACAGACAAGGTATGAGCTGAGGTAAGGGAACAGTAGCAGGACGCTCACATTTGATGCAACACTGCACGCAAATGGACAGACAGTAGAATTATGAGACGTTCAGTAAGAGAAGCTGGAGGACCGTGTCAGAAAGAAGAAAAAAATGGTGGGAAGCCATTTTTAGGAAGCACAGTGGTAAGAAGGAGTGGCCAGTTGAAAGAAATAAAATAACAAACAGGAGAAGACGGTGGGTGGGGTGGGGGTAGCTTTCTGTGCAGTCACTTCCCATCCCAAGCATCTTCCTTCTGTTTGGCTGCCAGGCGCTTTTGTTCTGAAAGATAAATCACAGAAACAAGACATAAATCAGCAAAAGCCCTTAGCTACTTAACTAAACATCACTCTGGTGGTTTGTTGCTCTAAATTTGTATAACTGTCTTTGCCATATGAGGGGAAGTGAAGCGCTGAGGCAGACTGAAGAGCTGGCTGTATGTATTTATGTAATTAATCTCTGGGTACAGCCATACGTGGCACACATGCCAAGGACACAATGTTCAGCACATGATGCACTCCTGCACTGACATTCACTGTGCGTGCTATAATCTTAAATAAAGAGCACAGCATCTCACCCATGCTAAGAACAAAGGACCTTTTTTTAGCTTTCTATACTCAAGGCTCTGACTTCCTGACTCAGTGGACAGCCATTTGGGGTTTTCTGTGCATATATACTTAAGTTCCATCTGTGAAGGGAAATGGTTGCTGTACTGATTATAGACCTGCTATGATCTGCACAGCAGTGGACCTAGAGCAACTTCTGCTGGTGTCAACTAGCAACTACATGTTTCAAATTCTTCTGTAAAGTATAACAACAGCTCCCACTTGTGGTGGAAAATGTGTGATGCCACAACTAGGACGATGAGGACTTTTGTGGGTCCTTAATACAGTATTTATTCATTCAAGAAAGGTTGAGAGGGAACCCATGTTCTTTCTTAATGACACCATGCTTGACACTCACACATATTATTCACTGTAGCAACAGGCCACTCTGCAGTATTTCCGACCCATGTCTGCTTCTTAAACATAGGTTACTAGGGGAGAGAGCAGGCCTGCTGACCACAGCACATCTTCACATTAAACACCTCAATCATAATCTGAACACATAATAATAATAATGCACCTCTTGCCTCCTGGAGTTTCCTCCTCTCTGCATCGCGCTGCTCCTTTGTGATGTTGCTCTTCACACCAAGGGCGCCGATCACAAGCTGGCGAGCCAGCGCTGCACTCGTTTGAGGTCTCTGTTTAGCAGGAAGGAGGTAGTCTGGGTATGGGAGGAGAGGAGAATAAAGAGGGACACAGATCATGTTAGTCTTTAAATGTGGATTTATTATGGAAATTACAGATGGCTGTATTTGTACCTGAGCAGCTACGGGCTTTGGCCTTTGTAGCAGGGGAGGATTTGGAGAGTGGTCGCAACTTCATCAGGGGATGTTTGGATCTTAGAGCTTCACGGGCTGAAAAGGGAACAGAAACAAACTGAAAAGGTTTATTACTTGAATAGAACTGAAAAAGCACATTTGTAACATGATGTCAAAGAGAGATTCAAACACGTTTCCTCTTACAAAACCATAAAATAGCTCAGCACTTCACACCAAGTTTCAGTGAGAGTTGGTTGGTCAGGTTCTACTCATGTCCACTGATCCTCTTTATTAATAGTTTTCCTCCCATTGTAGCGGGGGAAAGTGTCACAACAATGACATAGGAGAGCAGAGGATAATGTATTGTAGGAGCTCACAAACCTGCTATGGGGCTTGAGAAGAGACCCAGGGCATGTGAGTCATCAATCCACTGGATGTCAAAGCCTCTCTGTCTGAAAGTGAGAGGTCACGAATAAATAAGAAGAGAAGGTGTTACAAAAACCAAAGGAAGGTAAAACTGACACAGACACTTCTTGTGGATCTCAGATGCAATACATACACCAGGGATCCTGCACTCACAGAGATATCAAGAAACCTAAATTATATTGATGAATAAGTTTAACTATACATACTGGTAACACTGAAATAACTTGAGAAGGTCCTCTGTCTTAAACTCTGCAGGGAAGTCGTAGATCTCTACAATGTGAGAAAGTTCATCCTCACTGAGGTCAATGTCGTCGTCATCATCATCTTGGTCCATGTTGTAGTAATCAAACCTGGGCTGTTGGATTGATCCCTTCTTTCTACCTTCATTCACAGCCAGCTGGAAGCAGATGAGGAGAGGTGGTGAGAAGAAGGAAATGACGAGAAGGAAAGGGATAAGGGGCATTAAGCCTGAATTATAACTTCTTTTAAGTTAAGTTTTTAGCCATGTGTACACATAAACTGGCAAAGAGTGTTAACTTTGGGGAATATTGTGACGTTTTTTTTTTTTTTAAATATCACCTCTACCAAGCACTCACCTCTTCAAGCAGGTGCGGATCCAGACAATCTCCATCATCATTGAACAAGGTGTCCCAACTGTCCTCTTCCCCCTTTTCGTCCTGAAGGGATGTTGCTTCCAGACATGAGGTAGTATCTGCTAGCATCTCCTCATTGGTTGCAGCGTGGCCATTAACCTGCACATCTGCATCCTGCTCTTCCTTCACAGCAGGCTTGCTGTCACCTCCATCTTCTCCTCCAACTGGCGCTCCTTTATCAGCTGCTCCAGTCTTGTTGTTCTTGTTCTTGGCGTTTTTTCTTGCCTTGTCTGTGTAGCGAGGCCTGGGTCTTGGTTTGACTTCTCCCTGACTCTGACCTTTATCTTTGGAGCCACTATTTCGTTGCTTGGGGGCGTAAAGAGCCTGACTTGGCCTTTTTGACTGAGATGGAGGTGTGGGTGTTGGAGGACTGTCTTCTTTTGGCTGTTCCAGCTCCATGTTGTTAAAACATCTGGAGCATACAGGAAAGAAAACAGAAGAAGAGGCAGTGCAATGAAAACATCATGGGCCTTTCTTAACCGTTAGACGATTTCCACTCGAGTCTTGAATGTGTTTAAAGAAAATATGAATTATCTTTGACTCCAATGACTTCAACTGGTTAATTCATCCGGGAGAACAGTTTAAAAATTAAACAAAAAACATTTAAACCACGACATTGCTGTTAGCTACAGTTAGCTTACCAATTTAGCTAGCTACAGCTAAACCTCCTCTCGTTCAGGTTGTAACACTTGTGTATTGAGGATACAAATGTAAAGATAATGTCAATATAAATGAAAAAGTAATTATTTTCATTCAAACCATTTCAAACAGAATTGTAGAAGATAATTAATACTCTTTCAGCTTACCCGTGTTTGGTTTGTTTAGCAATAGATTTTCGTCGCACTATTGACGCAAGCTGAGGTCAACGCAAAGCATTCTGGGAGATGCTGTTCTTGAATGGCGCTGCAGCAGACCCACTCTGGATGGTCAACACGGTTGTTTAATGTCAATTTTGTATTTTTATGAGAATGTTCATTGTTTTTATAGGTCACGAGTTATACCCTGGCAGGAAGTATTAATGTGCTGTCTCTAAAATGTATTTCTGTGCCGTCGCTGTGATGTTTTTGTTTCGCAGCGTCTTCAAAACAAAGCAGACTTCCGCTTCTCGCATAGGTCACAGAAGCACAGGCCGGCCATTGGTCAACAATCTAATAAGTCCCACAGGTCTTCGCTTATTGGTCAATTGTTTACGCGTTACACAAGCTGTTTCATAAATTTTAAAAGCAGAAGTTGTGTAAGGTGGAGAATATTTGCCAAATGACATAATAAGCGGCGCCGAGTGCACTCACATCTCTGCAGCGACCCAGATCATCTTCATCTGTACACAGTGATAGAGCTGTCAGGTAAGGTTTTTAACGAAATGTCTGCATGCGACTGTGCTGGGGAGCAAGCAGTGAGGGCCTATAGGCACCAGTGAGCAAACGATTATCCAAGAAATGATCAGTAAAACAGAAATTCATCAATAATAGAGCGGTATAATTCACCTGGCGCAGGTTGCAGAAATGTTGATTCTAATGCAGAAGCATCTAGACACGATTTGTGTTCAAATGTATAATTACTTTCTCAAAATGGGAAAAACACAATGGTGTTCACTGGCTGATTTGGATGGATAGACGTCTTCTACTTAAATATATTGTCAACTCGTTTTTATTGTTTTTGGAGACTCTAACTTCTTTATTTTATTTTTGTAATATATCTTTTGGACAGTTTTACGTCTCCATTGTAATTCTCAGTTTTGAAGGTTCTGTAAAAATAAAATAAAAAGTAGTTTATTCATCACTGGGGCCATCCAGTAATCCAGCAATTTAGTAATGCATGTTCATAAAGTTGGGAGATTCACAAGAGACGCATGAAAAAATGGATCAACTAATGTAAAACTGATGTATATTTAACACAAAATTCTGCCTGTGATTGAGGTATACTTTTGCTTTACTGAAGGATACTAATGTGGTGTCTATCACATCAGGACATACAGTATCTCTTTACATTATATTTGTCTGCTTTATACAGAAGATTTTTGCATCTTCGGCATATTTAAATAAAATGCATAACCAAGCCCTGTGTTCCGTCAGGTTGCAGTGATGTGGATTTCAGGTCTATTGCTCCTCCTGGTTGGACTCTGGCATCAGTCCCACTCCCAGAGCTCTGAGCCCATGCTTCAGGTCGTTACACAGACGATGCTTCCCCCCGACAGTCTGCACAACCCCACGCAGCTCAACTATGGGATGGCTGTAACAGACGTGGATGGTGATGGTGACCTGGAAGTGGTAGTGGCAGGGTGAGTGGGAAAATGGTTAAAGGTAGAAGCACTGCTGACGGCGTGACAGAATGCATCTGTTAGGTGTGTCATGTGTTCAGAAATTTGTATATAAAACTGTGTGTGCATATAAAACTGTGTGTGCAATACAAACCTGTGTGATGTTCTGCTATAGGTACAATGGCCCCAACCTGGTGCTGAAATATGATCGCACTCAGAAGAGGCTGGTAAACATTGCTGTTGATGACAGTAACTCTCCTTACTACGCCCTGAGGGACCGAGCAGGGAATGCTATTGGAGTTACTGCCTGTGATGTGGATGGAGATGGCCGTGAGGAGATCTACTTCCTCAACACAAACAATGCTTACTCTGGTAAATTGTGCATTCTTATGATGTGCTTAAAATGTTTGTCCCAGCAAGCAATTTCAGGTAGCTGAATGATCCCCCCCCCCCCCCCCCTCATGATAACTGATGGTTTTCATGCAGGACAGGCAACTTATTCAGACAAGCTCTTCAAGTTTCGAAATGGTCGCTTTGAAGATCTTCTGAGCGACGAGCTCAATGTACGTCGCGGCGTTGCTAATCGCATGGCAGGACGTTCAGTTGCATGTGTTGACAGGAAGGTCAGTAAACACACTGTGTAAACATACACTGTTAAAAAAATAAGGGAACACTTAATCATTACTGTATAACATTAAGTCAGTTAAACTTCAGAGACATAAATCTGTCCAGTTAGGAAGCATGAGAGTCCTACAGAATGACCTCCAGCGGGCTACTGGTGTGCATGGTTCTAACCAAACTGTCAGATGCAGACTCCATGAGGGTGGCGTGACAGCCCGATGTCCTCTAATGGTATCTGTGCTCACAGCCCAGCAACGTGCAGCTCGATTAGCATTCGCCAGAGAACACCGGAATTGGACATCCGCCATTGCTGCTCCGTTCTCTTTACAGATGAGAGCAGGTTCACACTGACCACATATGACAGACGTGAAAGAGTCTGGAGACGTGAACATGATGCTCCCTGTAACACCATCCAGCATGACCGGTTTGGCAGCGGGTCAGTGATGGTCTAAGGAGGAATATACTTGGCAGGCCCACAGACCTCCATGTGGTAGCCAACGGTATCCTGACTGTTGTTCGGTCCCTGGATGAAATCCTCTGAGCCACTATTATAATAATAATAATAATCTTTATTTGTAGAGCACTTTACAAAAACAAGTTATAAAGTGCTTTAACAAGTGTAAAGACCATAATACCCAAAAGACAATAATACAAAAACAATACAAGATAAAAGCATGAAAACATTGAAAAGACTAAAATACATGTTTAAGATAAATATAAAATAAAAAAATAAAATAAAAGGGATCAAATAAAGTCAAATAAGATCGGGAAAGGCTCTCCTATAAAAGTATGTTTTAAGAAGGGACTTAAAAGAGTTCACTGACTCAGCCGACCTGATTTCCTCGGCAGGCTGTTCCAGAGCCTCGGGGCCCTGACAGCAAACGCTCTGTCCCCTTTAGTTTTCAGTCGAGACTCTGGAACAGACAACAGACCTCTGCCCGAGGATCTCAAGGTACATGCTGGTGCGTATGGGACTAAAAGGTCAGAAATATAACAAGGCGAGAGGCCATGAAGAGCTTTAAAAGTGATCAATAGAATTTTAAAGTTAATTCTAAAACATACTGGGAGCCAGTGTAATGAAGCTAAAATAGGAGTAATGTGGTCATATTTCTTTGTTCTGGTTAAAAGCCTGAGTTCTGGACAGTCTGGAGTCGATCAATAGATTTTTGGGTTAAACAGGTGAAAAGGCTGTTGCAATAATCCAGGCGTGATGAGATGAAGGCGTGTAAAATGGTCTCGGTGTCCTTAAAAGTTAACATAGATCCAAATTTTTGCTATATTTCTAAGTTGATAAAAACATGATTGAACAAGCTTTGTGGTGTGCTGCTCGAAATTTAAATTACTATCAAACCAAACACCAAGGTTCTTTGCCACAGGCTTAATGTGATTTACTAGGGAACCAATAACCAGTATATCTGTTTTGTCTGAGTTCAGCTAGAGGAAATTATTTGATCATCCTTCATCAGCAGAAATTAAAAGGTCATTGGTGACTTTAAGCAGGGCATTCTCAGTGCTGTGGTACTTCCTAAAACCAGACTGAAACCTTTCAAATATTTTGTTATTTTCCAGTACAGTGAGCAGCTGTTTGGACACAATTCTTTCTAGAATCTTTGCAATAAAAGGCAGTTTTGAAATTGGTCTAAAATTATGTGGGAGGGAGGGATCTAAACCAGGTTTCTTTAAAAGTGGGTTCACGCAAGCCGTTTTAAAATAATCAGGGACACAACCAGTAGATAGGGAGCTGTTGAAAATAGAGATCAAATGGGGCCCAACAGAATCTATTACTTTCAGTAAAAACTTTGTAGGTATTACATCAAGTGGGCTGGAGGACACTCTCATTTGTGATAGTGTTTTTAAAAGCTCAGACAAGTCGATGGGATAAAACTGGTTAAAACTCTCTTGCTGCTGGTGAGGGACCTCTGAGTTAGAGGCCGCAGGGGTAATAGAGGCTCTGATTGACACCACCTTATTGGTAAAATAAGATAAAAACAATTCACAGTCATCATTACTTCCAGCTGAGGCACAAGGAGGGGTTGGGTTTAGCAGCTGATCCACAGTCTTAAACAGAAACCTGGGATTGTGTTTATGTGTAGTAATGAGTTCAGAAAAATAGTGTGTCCTCGGATCCTTAACCATGTTATTGTATTTAATTGATAAATCTTTCAGACTGAGGTAATGAACTTGGAGACTGGACTTGTTCCATCTGCGCTCTGCTTTCCTGCATTCCCTTTTTTTAGGCTGCGAATGCTGTCATTTATCCAGGGTTGTTTACTAGCTTTAGACGTAGGCCTAACCTTTAGATGAGCAGTAATATTTAGTGACGACAAGCAGATATGATTGAAGTGATCGACCAGACTGTTGGTGTTGGAATCAGACAGGTGTTGGCTTTGGCTCTGAAAGAATGCACAAAACTTTGAAACACTTTGTTCATTAAAGATGCGAGAACACACGGAGCTTGGTGAGGCGGCATGAGTAACAGGCGAATCGCAGCTAAAAACAATACATCTGTGGTCAGATATGGTCATGTCCACTAATTCCACAGAGGAAATGCTGACACCCAGGGTAAAAACCAAGTCCAGTGTATGACCACGGTTATGTGTTTGCCCTTTGACATGTTGTTTGAAGTTAAAAGAAGTGGCCGTATTTAAAAAGTCAGTTGCATTAACATTGGTGGGGTCATCAACATGAATATTAAAATCGCCACAAAGAACAATTCTGTCATAATTTAAAACCAGAATAAATTAAAATTCAGGAAGTTCTGATAAAAATCCTCCAGGCGGTGTAAATTATAACAAATATGATAGGTTGCAGCCCTCAAAGTTTAAGAGTGAGAACTTCAAAGGAGTTAAATTCATCACAGCGTACTTGATGACATTAAAAATTTTCCTATACACGCTCACTAGCCCACCACCACGACCACTGACCCTCAGTTGACTAAAACAATCATATTGAGGCGGACGCAGTTCAGCTGGCTGGCTATAGTCATTCATTTGCAACCAGGATTCAGTTAAAAACATAAAATCTAGATTTGCAGACAAGATAAAATCATTGAAGATAAAAGTCTTACTTGACAGAGATCTCACATTGAAGAGAGCCATTTTAATTGAGTTTGTTTTGGGTTCTGGAGTTGGTGCAGTTGTCCTAATCCTTAAGAGATTACTATTATTTCTGTGTGGGATGTGCACATTTCGGTTTACTGGTCTATGTGTGATGATGACAGGAATAGAAGTCTTTGGAACAGCGCTAGGAGCAGACGGCTTTACATGCCAGCAGGTGGAGACAGTTGTTTGTGGCAGTGAGGCAGAGATCTGTTCAGTGAGCGGTGGTGTGTCCAGGTGGGCTGCATGAATGATTAGTCATTCACGTAAATCCTCAGGGGAGGACCATACCACATGCTGTATGCAGTCCTGTTTGTTTGGGTGAAGTCCATCTGTCTTAAAAAGAGACATTCATTGCCAGAAAATATTAAAGTTATGGACATAACACAAACCCTGAGCCCTGCAGGCGGACTGGTGGCCAAGGAGTCTACTGAAGCGGCCAGCACCGTGACCAACTGTGGGAATGGGACCAGAGATTAAAATGGACTTTCACTGTCAGACCTTACGCTGGTGCAGTGGGCCCTGGGTTCCTACTGGTGCAGGACAATGCCCGGCCTTATGTGGCCAGAGTGTGTAGGCTGGCCATATGATGAGGGCATTGAGGCCATTGACTCTCATCGGCCCTCATATTCCCCGTTATGTATTGGTGTATCCACCGCCACCAAGTAGGGCCCCAGAGTGTCCAGGAGCTCACTGATGACCTGATCCAGGTCTGGGAGGAGATCCCACCATCTGCCATCTCATCAGGAGCGTGCCCAGATGTTGTTGGGAGTGCATACAGGCTACACCAGGGGTCGGCAACCCGCGGCTCCAGAGCCGCATGCGGCTCTTTCATCCTTATACTGCGGCTCCGAGTGGCTTGGGAAAATAAATTACTAAAAAAAAAAAAAAAAAACTAAGTATTTAATTGAAGTGTATTTTATTTGTGTTAGTTGTTTTTTTATTATTTTAGTAACTAAATTAGAAGATTATTGTGATCTTGAAATATTAAAATATTAATAAAATAATATATTTGATTGTTTTTCGTCGCTCAAAATAAACGCCTTTGGAGTCCTGTCCATCTTCGGATCCACATATGTATGTGAGCAGCTATTCTCTACCATGAACTACATTTAAAAACAAACACCGCTCACGCCTCACAGATGACAGCTTACAGTCTTGCGTAAAGATGAAAGTGACTTCGTACAGCCCCGATTTGCAGACGCTGTGCGCAGAGGTTCAGGAGCAGAAGTCCCATTAACCAGGTAAAATAAATATTTATGCAGATATTTTGCAAATATTTATTTTTCATTGTTTAGGGACACAGTGCTTTTTTTCTCAATTTATTTTTTAAATTCAGGTCAAGGCTCCGCTACATACTCAGCCCAAAGGCGATACTATAAGGATGACGGCTCATGGCATTTTTTGCTTTTGTTTGCTACATGGATATTTTAAGTTCAGCTTTTTAATTTGTTTGAAAGGGACATTCAGACATTGTTATTATTTTTTCAAGAATTCAAAATGTTCAAAATGTTCAAAGCACTAATAAGTGTATGGCTGGGGTGAACCCCAAAGCATGAAAGGGAAGTTGTTGTTGTTGTTGTTTTTTTTTTAATAAATGCGGGTTTTTTTCATTTTAGATGTCAAAAAGTATTTGCGGCTCCCAGTGTTTTCTTTTCCGTGGAAACCGAGTTCAAATGGTTCTTTCGGTGTTAAAGGTTGCCGACCGCTGGGCTACACACACTACTGAGTCACATTATGAGTTGCCGTGATGAAAGTCACGCAAGTTGGATCAGCCTGTGATTGCATTTTTTTGGGGGGGATTTTGAATCCAGCCCCCAATCAGTGTGGTGATTCGGATTTCCATTGACCGTTAGTAAGTAATTTTGTTCTCAACAAACTACACAATGTACAGTAAAGATTTGTAACTTTCAACTATTTCGTTCATCGAGATCTGATGTGGGATTTGAGTGTTCCCTTGATTATTTTTAGCAGTGTATTTATGAAGTCCCTTAATCTGATTCATCACATCTCACCCTCTTTGTTTCCTCTTCCTCCTTCCAACAGCCTCCCTCTCACTCTCTTGTCTGTTGTTGCTCTACAGGGAACAGGCCGTTACTCAGTCTACGTGGCCAACTACGCCAGTGGCAACATCGGCCCCCACGCTCTCTTAGAAATGGATGAGGCTGCCAGTGATGTCACCAAGGGCATCGTGGCTCTGTCTGACGTGGCCGCAGACGCCGGGGTCAACAAGCTCACAGGTCAGGAGGTGGGCTGGAGAAGTGAAGGTCTGTGACATTTTGAAGTGTGCTGAATCAAGCATTCACGGTTTGCTTGTGGTGCAGGTGGACGTGGTGTGTTGGTTGGACCAATCCTAAGCCAGTCGCGGTCGGATGTGTTCTGCGACAACGAGAATGGACCAAACTTCCTGTTCAAGAATAATGGAGACGGGACTTTTGTTGATATGGCCAGACAGGCAGGTGAGTATACAACAACCTGAAAGGTATAGTCAGGCCTAGAAATACTTTTAAAGGCAGCTGGATGTCTTTCAAAGTTTATACTTTTGGTTTCACTCCAAATATTCTATTTTTTGCCCTGTTATATTTAATGTATACCAGCATTTTTAGCTGTGCTAACGATGACTATTAATTGACTACTGCAAAACTGATTACATTATTCTCAGCTGTAGTTTGTGATTAGTGCCAATTAGCAGATTTTTGCATGCTGACACACTCAACTAAAACTGTGAATGTGGTAAACACACATTGTACCTGCTGAACATCAGCATGTTAGCATTGCAAGCATGTTAGTGTACTGATGTTTAGCTTAATGTGCCCCTTTGCAGCCTTACAGAGCCAATAACAGGTCTGGAGAGGAGGAAAGTTGGTGAAATATTGAAGTTATTACACTGAAAATTACACAGAATGCATTGCTGTCAATCCTACACATAGTGGGTGTAAAAATGATTCATATCAAAATACAGTATGTTATTTTTCCAGCACTTGCAACACTAAGGATTTCAACATTGTGTCAATTTCTAAAGGTGTAGAGGACCGGTACCAGCATGGTAGAGGAGTAGCACTAGCCGACTTCAACGGTGATGGAAAGACAGACATTGTCTATGGCAACTGGAACGGCCCACACAGACTTTTCCTGCAAGGCAGTGACTCTAAATTCCGGGTAAGGAAGGACAACAGGGCGGAAAACTAATAAAAAAGTGGGTGATGGAAAGAGTTTGATAAAGCCTTGACAGTCTTCTCGTGCGCAGAACATAGCCACTGGAGAATTTGCTGTGCCCTCACCTATTCGCACAGTCATCGCTGCCGACTTTGACAATGACAAGGAGCTGGAGGTGTTTTTCAACAACATTGCTTACAAAGGCAATGCCCCCAACAGGCTGTTCAGGTAACATTCAATTATCATGTAAAGTCCCATTGAGAAGCATCAAGCAATTAAAAAATTACTCGCAGCAAACACATCCTGGATTATTGTTTACGTTACTAGCTGTTTTGAGCTTTGTGTGTTTGCAGGGTGTCAAGGAGAGCTGGTGCAGACCCTTTGATCCAGGAACTTAATGTGGGAGATGCTGCGGAGCCACAAGGAAGAGGAACAGGTCAGCTGTCTCTAAACTCTGACCTGAATATGTGCCACCTCTGCTGCCTCTCTGTTTGGATGAGATTTACAGAGTCAGAACTGTCAGAGACGTTATGTAGGTCACTGCAGTGAAAGCTCTGTCTGTTTTGGACAGGTGGCACTGTGGCAGACTTAGATGGGGATGGACAGCTGGAGCTGCTGCTGGCACATGGGGAGAGCGCCCAGCAGCCAATCTCTGTCTTCAAGGTCACACAGGTGTGTGTGTGTGTGTGTGTGTGTGTGTGTGTGTGTGTGGGGTGGTATTTGTATGTAAAATATTAATCTGAAAAGTAACTCAGATAAATGTAGTGGAGTAAAAAAATTATACTTAAGTACAGTATTTGGGTAAATGTACTTAGTAACATCAACACTTACTAAGCCCTAAAGGTCCTCAACCTAAACTGTGAAACCTGTCCAGGGCTCGTCCAACAACTGGCTGCGGGTCATCCCTCGCACCCAGTTTGGCTCGTTTGCCCGGGGAGCCAAGGTAACAGCCTTCACCAATCAGAGTGGAGCTCACACGCGCATCATTGACGGAGGCTCGGGGTACCTTTGTGAGATGGAGCCTGTCGCACACTTTGGTTTAGGTAATTTCCTTTACACTTTATAATTCATACACACTAAAAGTAAATGGGATAAACTTATATCTTAAGTAAAAGGCAGTATACATTGCCATAATTTATTTATTTTTGTATGTATTTAATCCAATTCACTGTAGGCATGTTTTTCTTAACTGTGGACAGAGCCAGGCTAGCTGTTTCCAGCTTTTATGCTAAGCTAAGATAATCACTTCCGTGGCTTGGCTTCATATTTAATGTACAGACATGAGAGTATTTTCAATCACCTCATATAGTTCTCAGAAAGAGTGCAAATATTTCCTAAAATCTCTATTCCTTTGACATGTAATATCATGTGTTCCTAACATACACAAAATTTCCTTATTATTACCTATGACTCCTAGGAAATGATGAGGTGACGGTGCTGGAGGTCTCCTGGCCCGACGGCAGCTCCATCACTCGAACCCTACAGCCTGGTGAATTGAACTCAGTGGTGGAAGTGGCCTATCCCACAGAAGGGCAAACGGTTGTGCTTGCCAATGACACGCAGGTACGCAAAATGGATCCACGGCATGAATTATGAACACGGGTAATGTTTCAGTCGGCCTGTGATAGTGGCCATATAAATTTATCCAACCCACCACATCATTCTCATGGCTTTTTTTTTCTTCAGTTCAGTTAGAAGCAGTTTTACAACAAAGCATCAACAGAAGACAACCCAAAAAAACAGATCATTTAGTAACATTACTGTTGATCGCTGACACAGATGATCATTTATAGTCCACTGTCTGTGAGATCTAAATGAATCAACATATTTGGTTTTATATACCAATGAATTTCTTTCTTTTTGTTCAGTGTGGTAAAGGCTTTACTGTCAAGAATGGCTACTGTGCAGGTAGGCCAATCTCCTTAATTTATAACTTTTTTTAAATGAAGTTAAATGAAGTGCCTTTTGAAAGATGAATACGTAAAAATCAAATATTATTTGGTTTCTTTTTAATTTGCTTTAATGTTTATGTTTCTACAGGTCTGTGAGGATAATCACATGGAATGCAATATCAAATTTCTGTGGAAAATGTTACAGAACACATGGTTTTAAAATACTTGTCTTTTTGTCGGGCTTAGTTGTTTTCTTTACTCTATGAGTAGTTTTAGTCTTTTTGTGTTTTTCTGCTAGGTTATGGAAATTATTTTGTATGTGCCATGGCAAACCCTTCTAAATAAACTGCTACAAGTCAGTATGGTCACATGGTAATTTCATTGGTAGAAAAAATTCACATCTGTCTTCAGTAGTTTGAGACACTCCCCATTTAGTCCCAAGTACAACCTCGTCACTCCACGTACTTTTACTGACCTCAGCAAACGCAAGCTAGTGCTGGCTGCATGTTTGAAGATGCACTTTTCACTTAAACCAGCAGCCAGCTGAAAATTAACTTGCAAGAACAACTGTGTGGTAGACACAGACCAACTAGAATAATCAGAAAGTACAAAGAAAACATATGGAGTTTCCCGTGTCCCCTGTTTGTGCTCCTCTCTGCCTCTTCTTGTCTTTCGTCCATGTGACTGCCATCTCAATCAGTTTCAATCCTTTGTACTGTGTTGTGATAATCTGATGTCTGCTCTTCTTTGTTTTCTACCATTTTATTTTCTTGTTCTGCCCTATTCTGTCACTTCTTTCATGCAGCGTTGGCTCCGTTTTACGATGGTGTGCGCTCGACCTCTGTCTCCACGCTTGCAGCCTCCTGTTTTAAGACCGTTTTACTACTATGTGTCATGGTGCTCTCTGCACTGGCAGCTCTCAGGGGCTGGTATTCATGAAGGTAACGATGATGCAGTAAGATGGCTTTTACCCAGCACCACATGCCTTAACCAAGCATTTGCTAAAAGACTTCCAGTATCCGTGAGGCAGTTATCAGAATGCATATCCTTGTATCTGGACCTTCCGCAGTCTGGACTTCTCCTGTTTGCTCTGGTGAGCTGGGTGCATGCTGTAGTCCCTACATGTTGTAACTTGAACTGAAAAACTGGGAACGGTATCATGCCATTTGCCCAGCTGAAGGCGCTGCAGTGTCTTATATCCAGTCAAGCGTGCATGCAAGCATGAGGGAATTTTCCTGACAAAAGCTTGTTAAAACATTAAAATAAGCATGTTTTTTTAAATCTGACATTTAATATCCGATTATTATTATGTACTTTATGCCTTTCCAAAGCAGATATTTTGATTTGTCATAGTGGGAAAAGCACAGGTGTTACTAATAACAAGTGTCAAAAGTCAAAATGTCTTTTGTGAAAAAAGCCCATTCTGCATTAAATAAATATCCCTGTACCTATTTTCCAATGGTGTGGTGTACATTGAGTTTGTCAAAGCTGTTTCACTGATGCCACAGCTGTGAAAGCACGAAGACTGAAACAAAACAGGAAGCTTAATAATGCTAAAAGCATTCTGAGTTTGTCACTACGGGCGGCCTCTTAAAGATTATCTGCAGGCATTTGGTCCATTAGTCATATAAAAAAGTTGATTAGTGCAGCTTTGCATTTAGGAGTTCCAGTTGCAGAGCCCTGCTACTGCGCATGGTGAGTTACAAGTTCGCTTTCTGGCTCACCTTAACGGAAAGAGGCCATTATGTTATTTGAAACACCTGTTCTTTTCCTGTTGTGACAGTCAAAATGTCTGCCATAGTAAAAGTGTATTATGTGGATTTCCAGTTTAACAACAAAGAAAGATGAGCTCTGTGCAGCTGTGATGAAACAGCATTTATTTGACACCAGTCATATATACCCCATTGCCATGTGTATCAAACAACAAGCAGTACGAAAGTTTGTTCTTGCACAAAATGTCACCAAAATAAAAGACACATTCACATTTGCGAGCCAGTTTTTTTGGCAGTTAACTGTTCTTTGGAAGTTTGTTCAGAAATCGAGGAAGTGGAGGTGTATTTTAAAACAATGGGTATGATTCAGGAAGACTTTGTGACCCATCCTTTTACTACTGCATTTAATGCACAGTATGTCTTTGCATAATCAAAATTTAGGAAGAGTTTGTCTCACTCATTGAAACCAAGAGATTAGTAGTACTTGTAATGTGTCTGCATTTGTGTGTCTAACAATTAAAATATAGGCTTCATGTGAGAAATATGGAAGATCTGCTACATAATATACATGGATGGGCTAAATGACATTCATCTGCTACCAGACAGCATGATTTACATCGGAGGTGAAGGAGGAAGAGGTTCTTTGTACACTTTATCTGGGTTCTGGGGGGGGTGAAACCTTGTGATGGTCTATTCAAATACTTGTACATCCTACTTACAACTCAAGATAGAGCTACAGAAAACATTTTTTAAAAGCCAATGTCTGGTGTGCAGGGTTGAGGGTGAGGAGTTCAGTCCAAATTTGGTTGATCCGGGTTCGGCTGTGGCTGATCTGGACTACATGGTGCAACTGTGGTGGCTGAGGTATGAGGTTTGGCGTGGCTCGTTGTGGTCTTCACTCCTCCCTCTACACCTCCTTCCTTCTTCCCTCCCTCCCTCCTTTTCTCACCCATCAGATTACACATAGCTGTGGTCACATCAAAGAAGACAGGAAGGAAGGTGATGGTACGATCACACAAAGCAGTACTAGCAAAATGTTTTGAGACATTGCATCCTCCAGTAACATGACACTTTTTTGATGCATGCACATTGCTTTGCAACAAACTACTAAAGTGTGTTTTAAGCGTTCACTGTGGTGGGGGGAGCTTAAACAATGTTAGCACGTGAAGGCCACGTCAGGAGCAACATGCCTCTCTTTGTTAAAAGCCAGCAAATCCTTTGTGTGAGCGTAGCTTTGGGATGCTTGGGTGACGAGTTGGAACAGGAGTAGTGTCATTGTCCTTCGTTCTCCTCCAGGGTTGTGAATGATCAGGGGGATCATTAATGTTAGGAGGTACCCAGTCATCGAGCAGTGCTGCCAGACACAGAGCTGCTCCCTGAGCTGGAGCCACTGGACCCCCGGTCTTCATAGATGGAAATCTCTATCTGGGGGGAGAGTAGTTAGGGACGACAACCTCGCTGTGGAGCGTTAATTAAACAGAAAAGATCAATTCTCTTGCCGTGCGCAAGCACCCAAAAACACTAAGTAAGGATACGACGCGCATTCCCCTTTCGATGGGATCCGTGATGAGCAGCCCTCTTGGAGCATAGATCTTCTCATTCTGCTCCTGAATGTACTTCGCTATCTTCTTCAACACCTGGCACACAGACAGAAGAACAACAAGAAATGGGTGAAACCCCAAACGCTAATCATTGTCCCAGACCTTTCAAATGCATCGAGATCACCGCTCTGACCTTCTCGTAGCGTGTCTCCATGCAGAGGAAGATGAGATATGCTGTAGCGCAAGCCAGGCACCCCTCCAGGTAGGACTGCCCTCCTATCTTTTCTGCCTCTGCGTAGTAGTTATTAAGCGTCTTCACAGTGTCCTCGAACAGTGTCCGCTCAATCTGGAGACGCACGCAGAGTCATGAGTAGCAGGGTTAGGACTGGTCAAGATAATATTTTGGCCTTCATTTGAGAGTGACCGTATAGATACAGACAGGAGACATGGAGAGAGAACGAGAAGGATAACCAGGAACATGTTACATGTATGTGTCTTTACCACTAGGCCACCTGCGTGGTTCTGTTAATGAGGTAATAAATAAAACTAATATTGTTCTGCGTAACGTAACATCAATCCTCTCTACAGTGGTAAAGCAGGTTAAACATTGGAAAACATGCCAATTTGTTTGTCTTTAATAATGAATGAGCAAATATTGAGTCTACTGAGAGTATTCACCAGATGCCTTTTATTTTAAATGTATTCATTTTTAATAGTCTGCTGGCACAACTTGTTTATCTGTATTTTATCACTATGTATTATTCTTGTTTGTTTTATTACTGTATTTATGAAGATGGGAGTTGCTGGGTTGGGGGTAATGACCCAAGAACTGTTTGTGTTCCTGTTGCAATGGAAATCATGACTTAAATATAAATCAATTAAAGAACTCACACACAATTGCTTTGGATTTAGCAACTTGTATCCCTTCCAACATGGAAGAAACAGAAAATAAAACATTTTATAAAAAGAAGAGCCTCCATTACTCTTTTCATCAGCAAATACCTCCCTGTCACACAACTTACTGGTGGCATTAACATAAACAGAAATGAAAGCGTTACAGTAGTTTCTATCGTGTTGCTCTTGAATTCATCATATCATATACCTATTCTATATGTACTAGTACTATGATGGCTACAAATTCACATGCATGTGTGGTTGGAGGCTGCCGGTGTCTCCTCACCCTGCTCTCCAGCTCAGAGGGGAACTTGGTCTGAAACTTGCAGGTGGTCCCTTCGCTGTAGTCTCTCTGGATGAAGACTTTGTTAGCCAGAGATGCACTGTGCCTCAGCTCCTGCAGATTGTGGAACTGAGGGGAATAAATCACACACACACACAGACAAATATAATGAGGTTTGATACAGTTATGTCTTTAATGGATCCCCAGGGAGAGCTCCATCTCTCTGTGCACCTGTTCACTCCTAATGTGTCCAAACACTGGCTGATCCGGAAGTATAGGATGATAGAGGAGAAGCATACAAGGTGTGATCAATCACTATGTGGCTCGGTGTCTGCACTCATTTCTGCCTTGTCTATTGGAGCAGAGCCCAGCATTGATATACTATCTTTTCCACACACACACACTTTTCATTCTGTGGTCTTGCAGGAAACGGGACAACGTTTCACTACAGCTCACAACAGATCGATCGGGCGGAACAAGATGAGGCACGGTGATAAAGCCCACTCAAACTCTTGTAATTTCTAGTGTTTACGCCGAAAATGTCGATTGCATCAAGGGATGTGTTGGGTAAACGTCAGTTTTGTTCAGTTGCATTTATGAAAGCACAGATGGAGGCAAAAGAGGCTGGAAAGGGAGCGAGGAAGGTCAGGGCGGCGTGGCTTCTGTCCATGGTGCTGAACGCCTTTCCTCCGCGCGTGTGTGTGTGGGCACTGTCACCGGATTAACGGGGCGTCTCAACAGACAAAAACAGATCTGCTTTCGCCAAAACAGCTTAACATTGCGGGGAGGACCGCACCGTGATCCGCTGTTTCTGCCCCAGTTTCTGTCCCCATGGAGCAAAGCTGACATTCAAAATGTTTGTTTTTTATCCCTTTATAACGGCAGAACAGCTTACAGGAGGAAAAAGCCTTTGGACGGAGCTGGCATGATAATGTAGGACACTGCCGTCAGTAGTGATTCAAGTGAGCTGCAACTGGATCAGTGTGACACCGTTTAACCGTGTGCAGCCTCACTGCCGTCATTGACAATGTTAACTGCCCCCGCGCTTGTTTCACTTGAACAATAATAAAATTGTGCAGGAAATCGAAAAGTCAGCAGGGTATTTAAACAGATAACGTGCCAGTCTTACCTCTGTCGCCATGTTGCCATCAGCAGCCGTAGGGACGAGTCCCTGCACGCGCTGTAACCGCTTTAGTGGGACACGGGGACGGGTGAAGGAGCTGGGGGTGGGAGAGAGGAGGGGCGGACCAGGGGAGGGGCGAATACACGCATGTTTACATTATAATACATAATAAATTAGTTCAGGGGTAGGAGTACATAACTTTTACTTCTTCCTACTCCTATCCACACATGTAAATAGAGGTGTTGAAGTTTATTGTACTATTTTATATTATTTATTTTACACGTTCGAAATAAAGATAGCAATTAATCAATCAATCAAACATTAATGATGGCGCCAATCTATTAACAAGTATCTCAGGACGCCGGGAACAGTGGGCCAGCATGCACAAAACCAGGACTCTGAGACCAAAACAGCTAAATGGATTTCATCCGTTAATAAATCATTTACTCCTGTGCTTTTCCTACTGTGAGGTGAACAAATGTTTGTTTTTTTCCTGTGAAAAAGGCCAGCTGTGTGGGAGCAAAGAGGGGCCTTAAACCTGAATTAACTGATTTCTTTCCACTACACAGACCAAATGATAAATCTAAGTCCAATATTAACCAACCCATGAGGGAAACACTGTTGCTCTTTAGCTGCTAAATGCTCCACTATGTTCCACAGATAGTCACTAACTTTGTGTTGTTTTAGTGCAGGTAGTGTACAGTGGGTTTATCAGACATTTTTTTTTGCTGAAAACAGCTGCAGTAAATAGTATTTAATTGGTCATTTGTTGCTCAAAAACAGTTTCTCAGATTTTGCTTGAAACTGAAAAACAAAAAAAATTTAGTGGTATTTTATTTTAAACTTTGGTTAAAGTAGTGGTTATTCAGTTGCTTATAAATGTTTTTATTGTGATCTTTGTTTCCATACTACTGAAGCAAAGACTAGCAGAGCCTGTGAGAAATCTCCAACTCAAAAGACCATACCTACCACTTGTGACTTTAAGTTAATCAAACCTTCAGAGTTTATTTCAATAATAGCATAGGTTCATCCATAAAATCAGGGCAATATATACAGAATGAATTATTAAGTCAAATAACTTGCACTTTCTGGACTTTTAAATTAAATAGATATAGTAGTACAGTTTAGAGTAAAACTTGATACATGATTACAATAAAAGCAAACAATTACAATCATCTGTGTCTGAATCTTGATTAAAACTTTACCAACAAGATCCACATCTTGGGTTAAAATGCCTCCACATCAATTCTTTTAAGTCCCGCTTGCAAGAGTGTGAGGCTCTGATGACAATTCCAGCTGGTTGCTCAGTCCATTTAAACAACTTTAAACCAGTTGGGTTGACTTTGATCCAGTTAGAGGAATACCACGGGCTCCAGGGACCTCTAGCAATTTCTTTGACCTGTAGGCTGCTGCTATACTAAAACGCTAATATGACATGTCAACACCAGAAAAATGATTATTACAACCAAAACTGATCCGCAAAACAAATCTGGGATCAAAATGTTCACAAACCCCGTTCACCACCCTCCAGAACACCGTCAATTTGTCAAAAATGTAATATGATTCACCGCAGGCCATGCACTCTCAGTACTGCCATAGAGTTAATTGCTTGATGGCATGTTATATCTATTCCAGTTATGTCATGTAAGCTCTTTTAGTTGGTGGGAACACCATTTAAAAATGTGCCATTTGCTCTCTGAGCCTGTATACTTACCAACTTGAGGAAAATGTGGTTTGCAGTGGCAGTAGACAAACCTAGTAAAACAAGAAAATTAAAAGCAGTGTCCCCAAAAACTTGGACAAACCCAGAACTAATCACATGACATTGTTGACCAGCTGCAGGTCAAAGTTTATTGGAGCAAACAAAATTTCTGAGTTTAGCTAGCCAGCCTGCGCACACTGTGGCAATAGAAGCTAAATGTAGAGCTTGTTTCGGTTGTATGTTATTTTGTTCATCTGAACAAAGCAAATTCACACTGCCAGCCTTTTGATCACTCCATCGCATTCATCCCCGATCTAAAAACCTATAACTAAATGTATACAGTGCCAGCCGCTAATGCTGAGAGTCCTCTCAGAATTACAGTACTGTTAAACTGCAACATGGGGCTGAAAATGTCATGATTCAAGCGGAATCAACAAAGTAAAAGCAAAACCGTAGACAGGCAGCCTATAATCTTGTTTATATTGCCCGACACAACCAGTCCAATTCTGGCCTCCACCCTGCATACTCTGCACCTCCCTCTGCTCAGCAAAGGGAACAGGTCTGTTGATTTTGGTGCCACTCTGCTCTGTAGTTAATCTCATTGATTCAGAAGGTCCAGTTCTTCATTGAGACTTGAAACAGGAAATATTTAACATATTACAGTAGATGTCCCATAAGCAGCATGAGTAGCTAAGGAGGGATATGATATGGGGGTTTCTTGGAGTTAGATATCTTGACAGACAGAAGTGCCTTAACCTGAAAACCAAGGCAAGTAGGGTTTCAGTAACTTGGACTGGGGCTCAGGTATGAACAGTGAATGATCTCCAGCTGGCCACAGGGAGACAAGACTGACATGCCAGCTCACTGTAACTTGATGAGAGAGGAATTACAGGCAGCACAAACAAATACTGTCTCTCTCTGTGCCTCTGGAGCTGGAGAAGAAACAATAAAAAGAGAATGAGATCGTAAGTCAAAGAGCAGATAAGTGAGAGTAATTTAGTCACTGTCATGTAATTTTTATCAATCTGTCTAACAATAAAAATGCTAGAATGATCCAATTTTGTATTTTTTCCCTTCTCACCTGTTGCCCCCATGCAAGATCTCAGCACCTTGAAAGAACAGCATCGGGAACAGAAGCTGTTGCCACAGTTACTGCAGCTCCTCTGTAACATAAAGAGACACTGTGTTGAAGCTTGCGCAAATAAAACAATAAGACAAAATTAAATATGACGATGGCGTGATGCCTAAATATATCCCCAGTTCTTGTCACAAGTTTTCAGTCTCACCCTTTTCTTCAGCACTGAGAAGACAGCATTGCAGCTAGAACAGTTGCCTTTGGAGAATAAGACAGATAAGAGAGATAAATAGTATTATGAAATAAAGTATAGAAAAAAATATCAGATACAATGCATCCGTTCACAGATAAGATATGAGACTAACGTCAGAAAGATTCTCCTTTCATCACTGAGGTATAACAAGACGAAACAAAGCAGTGGATGAGTCAGAGCAGACTGACCTGTGCTGGTGGTGGGGTAGCGTTTACGCAGTTTCTCTGTCAGTTTGGACACTTTGCTGCGTATTGGTTCATTGCGGCTCAAGAGACCATTTTCGGAGATGGTGTCATACTCGGGAGCTCCAAGAGGCCCGTCATCATCCTCCTGAGGGAGAGGGAGGACGAGAGAGGAGGGGCAGTTACATACTGTGTAAGCTACAGTAACCGGAGTTAGTCTTTTGGAGTATGAGAACCTGCCAAGACACAGAGCCAAACTCAGCAGTCGGGCTAAAATGCATTGTGAGGATTTCAGCCAATTATACCAATAGATGTTTGGCAAATAATTCAAGCATGATGATGTCAACTACTAGGGAGACAAATGCAATTCCTGCATTTACAGAAAAAATAAGTACAGTATGCATGCTTGTACAGCTGGACTTAATCTATGTGCCAAACATAAGGAAACCAAACCCCTTAAAAAGCTGAGCGCTGCATCATTATATCCACGTAATGCTATATGTATAAAAAAATAAAAAAATAAATAAAAAGCCATTTGGTGGAAATGTCATTTGATTATTGGTCATACAGTCGGCAGATAAAAAGACAACAAACATCTCCAAATTTCTACCTAGATACAGTACCTGTCAGGTTCTGTTCATGTTGGTGTTGGTCTGGAGCGCATATCAGCGGACTTTACGCACGCATACAAATGTCTTGTAAGACACTGGGTAATAAATGATTTACAAAAGCAGGCATTTTGAGGGAGAAGCACTACCATCAGATGGTCTTATCACAGATCACACCATATTTTGTTTGCATTTGTAAAGTGGACCAGTAAAATAAGAGGGCCACAATTGCAAACATCCCAAAATCACAAAGTTGGCCCCTGCAAATAGGTGGTAAATGGTAAATGATACATAATCGATATGTATCTCCTTGAATGAATGAATTACTTCATACATGGCCCTACACGCTACATACATGAATAGTTTAATATATCAGTAGGTGCTTCCCTTTCATCAAGAATAAATATTACTTATAATTGTTTTATATTTATGTTGTATTAGTTGTTACTGTACTTTTATAGTGTCTTTTCCATTTTTTTGTTCTTGACTGTTACAGTACTTTGTCTTTATTTTTATTTCCTCTTAATATGTTTATTGTATGTAAGTGAAAACCTACTTGGTAATAAAACATATTCTGATCAATATGAAATATTATAAATAACCCCCCCCCCCCCAAACTAAATAAGGCTGGTGTGGACCTGCCCTAATACTCATCAAAAGGTCTATTCCCCACTCAACAACCTAACCTAATCCACTGAAAGGCACAACTAGACAAGAGGACAAACAAGAAGAAAAAGATATTTCTTGCCAAAGAAAACCATCCAGCCTAAACAAACAGGGCTTTAGGGAACAAGATAACATGTTTCTGCTTCCTGTGTGTTGGACAGCAGATCTACAGCTACACTAAAAAGCCAATATCTGCCAATCAGAAACTCTAAAATATAAATGATATCATGCTGCAACTCTTTCGCATATCACACATTCTAATTAAATAAAGAAATGCAAAACGCTCATAATATGCTTTCAATCAAAAGACACAGACACCACAAAACATTAATGAGTTCATCTTGCAGAAATGGTTTGAGGAAGGAAAAGCTGATCTCACAAATGTAATATGACTCGTAAACAATTGTCATGCAGACTAGAAATGAATTAGCACTGCATGATGGGATTATTATTATTATCACTATCACATAACATGTGCCAAGGGAACAAGCACATGATGATGGATGGATGGGAGGTGCAGGGAAATCCACTTACCACTAAGACCAAAGGCGTTTCCTAATCAGGAAGCAGAACAGCACAGGACAACAACATTACCCACAAACACTGATATTTAGTGTGAGTACACAGGAATATACCCAAAACCATGTTTCAAACGGCAAAAACCATGACAAAAACCAACTACACCATGAGGTCCCTGTTCATGTGTCAAGTAGTTCTATATTTAAGTGTTAACGGGGTGGCAGTGCACTAGCCTCTTCTAAACAGAGGGGGGCAACACTCACCTGCAAGGACATTGAATGCTCCTGAGTTCAGCAGAGAAAAGACAGGAAGTAACGGGACATACATCATGAGACAAAGGTGTTTCACACAATGTAGGCTAGCTCCAACTATTGTCATTCAAATATGTAATGTCATTTATTAAACAGTGGCTTCAGAACATATTCAAACCCTGTCACAAACTTTATTCTGCAATAGATTTAATTTAAATCTGTGAAATCTCTCATTTATATTAGCATTTGAGTCCTTGTTATGGCACTCCACATTTAGCTCAGGCACATTCTGTGTGCTTTAATTATCCTTGAAGTGCCTCTAAACCTTGACTGAAGTCTACCTGTGACAATTAATTGTCACTTTACTTTCCAAAACACACTGTACTTAAAGCCAAATGTGGTTGAACACCTTTTAACATTTGTTACCTGTCAAAGTGACAGCACACCCTGGCCCTAAAATTGTACCAGGCTGCTGCTTCTTTTTATCCTGGTGTCTTTTATAATCTTTTTCTAAAACTGTCTTTACTTCAACCATCAAATCTGACATCATTAGAAAGACGTAAAGGTAAAAATATAAGTTAAGCAAGTGATCAGATCTACCTCAATGGCATCTTTGAATTCATCATCAGGCTCTGCCTCCTCAGCTTCCTCCACACTGCCAGGAGACAGGTCCTGTCATCAAACACACACAGACACAAATTAATATATAAATACTGGGCTGAAAAGTACCCAATTTAAACTGTGGGATGATATATTCTCGAACCTTGATCACCTTGATTATTTTGATCAGTCAAGATTCACTGTTGCCTTGTCATGGATGGATCGAGAAAACCTGTGCATGGATTTGCATTACTCATACTGGACAAATACATAAGCAGCTTACAGCCATGGTTGGTTTTATTGTAATTCACAAACACTAAATCCTTCAGTATTCAAACCCCCATGCCAGGGGCGTTGCTAGACATAAAGCTCAACTGGGGCACAAACCCACTCATTCCCCATGTAAATTTTTGATTTTGATTTATTTTTGTTTGAAGAGTATGAAATGTGTTAGTATGTGCCTCACCAGCCTCCCTTGCATAGCCCCTTAATATTGTCATGTCAGAAAGGCCACCTAATGGAAAATTCTGGTACCACCTAAGAAAAATTCTGCTATGGCGCCGTCCTACCTGACTTGTGAGCCATGTAAACAATTTGCCATTGCTGCACAGTCACACCTGACACTGCATTCCTCTCACTACTGCCTCTCCTTTAAAACAGTCCGTCTATGTAATAAGCCTGAATGGAAACCTCTTCTAGAAAATACCACTGCTGATTTAAATGGACCTCTGCGCACTAACTCAATCCTCCATTGGGTCTGAGCTGCTTGTATCTGATGCTGCCTGCAGACATCTGGCTGTGCTTTTTACTGGCTGAGGCTGCCTGTATTTCACCTGGGTCTGTGTAACCCGCTAAAAACGTCTGGACTGGGTCTGTGCTACTACTGGATTTGGATCAGCTGTGCTTGTACTGGCTTATGATCCAGCATCTACTCTACTGACAAACCTCAGCATAGCCCCTATAAATCATAAATATCAATACTTGCAAGATAATATTGTTATCAGCTGCATCAGGCCCATTCAAACTGGCTCCCCAGGTTTCCTTTAATACGTTTTCAAAAGGAAAATACTATTTATACTATGACATGACTATGTGATGTTTATTATGTACAGAAAAATGTAGGCTAAATCCATATTTTCCAGTCTGCCCTGCTAATCAAACTTTTAATAGTCAATGTGAATCCACTGCTTTCCATCTTGCATTAGTCCTGAGTTGCTGAATTAAACTTTCACTGAGAGACAGATAATTATTGTCTCATTTTAAAATGATGTGTGCCTATGAGGAGTGCCATTCCATCTGTGTCTAGACTGGTCCCACTAATGTTGCTGCTGGAGGGATATAACGCAATAACATCCGGCTGCAGACTGTAGCACCGCTCAGCCGGATGCGCAAGTTTCATTTCGTGCACGCGCACATGAGCGCTTGTTCACACGTGACGTAGTTGTCTTTTCAGTGCTGCAGTTTATAAATATCATTGCATGTCGGCTGCTCAGCTGGGTTTGCAAGACAGAGAGAGATTCACTGCAGCTACACATGCTGCTCACATCAGACTCTTAGAGGAGAGAACACAAGTTTACCTGACTGCTGTTCTAGAAAGTCATTCTCATTGAGCCATTTTCTCTTCTTGTGCCCAGAAGGATAGTTCCTCTTAGTCTTCTCATCAATGTTGTAAACAGTCGCTTTCAACACTGACTCGTTTTTTGCGGCATTTCATATTGTAACAAAGTGCCTTTTCGCATCAACCAGTAGTTTTATTTTGAAAGAGTACCCGGACATTGCAGATGCAGCCAATTGTTGCTACCTTGACCGCGGAGCCCTACACGTCCAAAAACGACACCAAGATGTCTTAACAATTTCACTGGGGCACAGCACATGGATACAGGGGCACGTGCCCCAGTAAAAAGGGTCTAGCGACGCCTATGCCCCATGCACTACTCTCCACAGTGCTCCTTCCTCTCACCTCCAGACTAGTTGGTGTAGGGGTCCTGTCCAACAAGTTGCCCTGTTCCTGCACTTCACATGCCCCCTCTGAGGTCTGGGCCTGACCCATGTAGGACAGCTTTCTGAGGTCCAACAAAACTGCAACCACAGGAGAAACAACACTTCACTTTGGCTCAACTTTCCTAAAGGACAGTTAGTGTTTGCTTCTTCCAAACAGAATGAACTAACCTCTGCAGAAGTCTCTGTTCCACAGGAAGATGACGCTGTTGAGACCGGCGAACACCCAGCCCACAGGAGCGACGTAGAGCAGACACGCCAATATTAACATCCCTGCATAGAACCTGGAGAGAGATATTACAAAAAGAATAAGTTAAGAATAGAAACCACTATACAAGTGATTGATTAGCCAGTACATTCTTATAATGAGTAGCATGGACATTTCAAGTAATATTGACCTCGGATTGAAAAGTTTTCTGTCCAAATAAACTACAGAGCATGTGGATATTTATCCAAGTATTTAACTAAAACTAGAATACTCCATGTCTCTAATGAATTATAATTATACAGACTATGACCTTATTTGGTCATTTAAATGTAATTTACATTTACATTACATTTATTCATTTAGCTGACGCTTTTATCCAAAGCGACTTACAATTGCTATATATGTCAGAGGTGCCACTAGGGGTTAAGTCTCTTGCTCAGGGACACATTGGTGGATGGGTCACAGTGGGGAATTGAACCCGAGTCTCTCACGCCAAAGGCATGTATGTGTCTTATCCATTGCGTCATCACCACATTGCTTACCAGTATTAGTAAGTCAATGTAAATGTGACTACTGACAACATCAGCTCAGCAATAAAGAATAACCGATATGTTGTGAAGTAGTAACTAACAATACCTTGGCTGTGTGTGTGTGTTTGTGTGTGTTTCATGTTTTTATATCCCGGTGGGGACTTTAACCTGAAAACACACCAACCAATGTGGACATAAATTTTGGACCCCACGGGTAGAGACTGTTTTGGGGGTTAAGACTTGGTTTTAGGGGTCAGGTTACCAATGGGTTAAGGTTAATAGGGTTAATGTCAATGAGATGTCCCCAAGGGGGTAGTGGTCCAAACACGTGCATGCCTGATTGTGTATGCAGACCTTGACGACTTGGTGTGATTGTCCCAGTATAGGACCTCGTAAATAGCTTCTGCAGACAGGCAGGCAGAGGACAGCATGTCATCCAGCTGCTTCAACCTGGTGAAAACAACAAAACATGAGCACACCCACAAACACTAAAAGAACAAAGACCATGTTCAAATGTTACGCATACATATGACCTGTGGGTACAAGCCACAGTTTGTAAACCTATTCCAAAAAGGAAGATTTTCATTATCTGTTAGTCTCTTAATACTTTCTAATTAAATCATAAAATATGTATTTATTTGTATATAAATCATTTTATTATGGTAAAAATAAAGAAAACTAGCAATTGTACCTGTGGCATTTGTGAGCGTTTGTGAGCTGTAGGGCAATGTTTTGATGATAGGGGACCAAAACAAGTTGTGCTGTTTTCATTTTTTAAGACAGCTTTGCACATGTTTAATGAAGTAGGAAATTAATTAAACAACAATACAAAAACAAGCTCAGGCCTCTAGGATATACATTAATATATGTTTAGGTGAGAAAACAGTGAATGTGAAGAAACTCCATAGAGTACCTTAAGAGTAGCATTTGGGAAGCTGTAACCAACACATGTTTACAAAAGTAACTGTGACGTATACAAAGTGGAGTGGTGTGAACTCAACAAATCTTTTCAAGCAGATTTTGTTTCAGGTCTGGCTTCAATGCAGAAACACCCAAAGACAAGTGCAACCGCACAAGCTCTCATTGCCTATCCACACACACACACACACACACACACACACACACACACACACACACACACACACGCATCAGTCAATTAATAGAATAGGTGATCAACAGAAGATAAATTAGAAACTATTTTGATAATATATTAATTGTTTTAGTACATTTTAAAAGAAAATTACTATTTCATTACCAAGTTCCAGCTTGTCAAATGTGATGAAGTGTTGTTTTTTTGTTTTTTTTTTACATGGTAGTAAAATGTTTTTTTGGCTTTGGACTGTTGGTCGGACAAAACATTACACTTATGGACATCACCGCTTCAGAAAGATTTAACTGGTATTTATTTATTTTTTACTAAGTTCTGACATTTTATAGCCTTAACAATGAATCGAGAAAATAATCAGAAGATTAACTGATAATGAAAATAACCTGCCCTGCAGCACATAACCCCATCCCCTGCAGTGTATGTCTTACAGTTGTTTGACTTCCAGCATGGCCTCCTGTTTGGTGAGATGCACCGTCTGCCAGTCTCGGCGGTACACAGCGTGGTAGCGCCTCCTCTGGAGCTCAGCGTCTGAGGCTCTGCCCCCACACCTGTCCTGCAGGTAACCCAGGGCAGCAGGCGCCGTCAGTGCCACTACACCCACAGTGAACCAGCCCACTGATACCAGAGAAGCAGACATAAAGTTCATCAATTATTCACGAGGCTTTTCAAACATCAAACAAAAGCCGGATCAATATTAATGCTTCATCTTACCTTCATTAACAGTGCAGAAGAAGATATTGAGGAATACACAGACAAGCAGAGAGCACACGGGCATCTTCCATCTGAGGGATGAAAAAAATAGATGACACTGAATACTAAATATGGCTTCCTGCCATTACTACTTAAGGCCAAAAGCACTTACATGACATGATGCTCAAACAGCCCACAAACAAACACACATACGCACCCGAGCAGGAAGCGCGTCAGCTCCACTGCATCTGCAACCGGTTCTATAAGCAGAGCCATTCTCTTATAGGACACAACCATGTTGAAGAGGTCAAAGTTTGGTGTACTCCGCGGGCTCCCCAACTCAGAGGCATCCGGCGACCCGGGGGTCTCTTTAGATAACGTGTGTACTAGCTCTCCCCCCTCCCCTGCACCCTGTGAGGGGTCCTGGGACACGCCGTGCGTCGTCATTCCTGTACAGAGTGAAGAAAAGAAAGCAGGCAGGATTCAGAAGGTGAATTATAAGGCGAAAATCTCATCTTGACTTGCTAATGGTAAAGCCCCCTAAAGGTGATAATCTGAAATAATAAGACCTGCCTTAGAAGTGTCAAAATCTACAGTGCTGAAACAGTGCAAAACATTTTCCATTAGGATTTATAAAGCATGTGTTTATCAGTCTGTGTTGTTTACAATGCTGTAGATACACACTGTATTTTACTGACATCTTACTTACATTTTACTTGAGTGTGCAAAATTGAAATAAAGTGGAAAAACCACACCCACCAGCACATACCTGCATTGTACTGGTGAGGTTTTCCTAGAGCACACTTCTGACCACACCCAACAGAGGTGCAACACAGAAGTGGACAATGTCTAATGCTATTCTTGGTACTGTAAATTATCATGCATTTTTGGAGTATAATCATCATAATTATGCTTACAGTCACATACATATAAAGAACTTACTGATGTAGAGCTTACTTGAAGCTCTACATCCTCAAAAGTAATCTTAAAACAAAGTTATCCTTACAATTATGTGTGAAAGCTCCTGGAAGCGTCACTGAATTAGCAAGAGATTAGTATGGTGTACTTGTCATGTTATGTTACTGTCAACATGATCTTTTCTAAGTGATCACACTAACAGGTAACGTTACTTAACGCTGTCTTCAAAAAGCTACTTCAACTTACTCGAGTACTTTGTTCTGAACACAAGCAACCCTAACCTGTAACTACATGAGGGGTTTTCTGAGTGCACTCTATCCCTCTCCATCCTCCTTTTGCAATAATAAATCATTCATCATTCACCGTGAACACGCAAAGGACCACCTCAGCAGCATCACCCTAAATCGGCGCGGTGTTGTGGCCTGTGAGACGCTGTCAAACAGGAGAGTAACAGAAAGACACTATAGATTTATTATCGAGACAGCCGCCCAGCTAATTGTATAACTTACCCCGAGCTGAGTGTCCAACAACAGCCAACTTGTGAAGCAGCAGCAGCGCCGAAGAGAGTTCAGGCGTAACTAGCGAGTCCCACCGACATCGTCAGTCTGGAGGAAGGAAGAGCCTCCAAATGCACCCGGCCCGGTCAACATAGCAGCTGCCTGCCCTCCTACATGAGCATCCACCTGTCAAAGCGAGACCGTTTATAAAACTAAGCAGTTGTCTGCGGAGAAACGCTACGAGTAAACCAGTTTTGTTTGTCCCAGCTAACTGCGTTAGCTCCGTGCTTATCTGACAACGTCCGCTTCCTCATTTAATCCAGGCCGAACAATGGATCACGGAGAAGGAGCTGGTGTCCGATACAACCGATCACAGAGCAGGGCGGTAGGATGCAGAGCGGAACTGACTGAGTAAGCTCATTTTAGTGTTACTATGTTGAAAAATAAACCCAAACGCTTTATGTAAGTCTACTTATAATAATAAAGAAAAGGTTTGTGTGTTTTTTTCAAGTATAATAATAAGGATGACCTTGTTTTCAAAAGAAAGGCTATTATATTTCATATTCCAGAATCAATATATATGCAAATACTTTTGTTAACACTTTACAAAACGGTAGCAAAAAAATTGTGAATAGTTACTAAGGAAGAGTCAGGAACAGATCAGGAATTGGTAGCCTAATTAATGAAGCGTTAACAAGTAGGCTAGTAGGTCTAATGATTAGGCAACTCGCACCATAAAGTAATACATTATAGTCGTCCCTCATTAGTCCATGATTACCTGATCACCCATTACTAAACCCTTTTGTGCCCTGCTCAAATAAAGTACCCAATAAAAGAGCTTCAACACAAATGTTAAGTAGTGGTCAGATAATCATGAACTACTCAGTATAGCATAGTTTTGTGCCTCTCAGTGGCTGCAGAGTTCATTTGGAACCACTAAAGAAAGCGGTCATTATGATTCACAGATACATGAACTAACCATCTATTGATTCATTAATATAGTCTCTCTCAACAGTGTTGTCACGTCAGGAGGAATTTAGACATTTTAAAAAGCACACCCACATTACTTCAGAGGACATTACACTGACTTATTTCATTTCCTGAAGACTTCCCTTCAGCCTATAACCACTAGCCTACTTGCTTAACCTTTAGCCTACCTAATCTTAACCACTGGTCTTACATTGCTAACCCTGCATAGTCCAAAAGATTAACTTGACTGATATGATTATGGAATAAAAATGACCCCACTAACATTTTCTACATGTTTGAAAAATATTGTGCATATCTGTCCCATTGGTATATCTGCCTGTAACTAATATCCTATTTGAACTTTTCTGTGACCCCTCTCTGGCTGCAGAGTAGGCCTACAGGATTTGTGTACTTTGTCCACCACTGGACGAAGTACACAAATCCTGTAGGCCTACTTGAGTTCCTGATTAGCTCACACCATAAAAGTATAGTGGTTTTCAATTTCTACTTGAGTAAAAATACAAAAAATACTTAAGTATAAAGTACTATGAGTATGGTTATGTTTGTCAGGGGACTTGACAAACATACAGTAATTTAATAATAGAGTAGGCAAACTTCCCTATTTATTAAATTATTATTTTATTATTTATTACTGTCTGACTCCAAGCACTGAGTTCACATTTTTGAAATCCTGAAAATAGTGAGAAATGCCGTCACAATTATGCAGAGCCCAAATTGTCACCTTAATGTCTTGCTTGCTTTGCGTTCTTGCTTTGTCTAACCAACGGTACAACGCCAAAAGTGAATGTTTGTTTAGTCTCCACAGGAAACTAACGTTTGTTTCAGAAACTAAACAAAAGTGAGTATGCCAACGATGGTTGTTCTGCCTCGGGTGGCTCTAATGACCATAAAGACTGTTGTTACAACATCCAGGAACACTAACCAACCAGCGGTATCGATCATCTTATAAAGGACCCCACATACATTAAATAGCTGAATTTCCCTACCAGTCAGTCAGAAATAAAGAAGCTTGGATGAGGGACAAAACTTCTTCAGGTATTTTCAACTAAGTCCAGTTTCTCATGATTTTAACCTTCCTTTGACATGACTGTTTAAATGTATTCTAGTCTACTATCTAGGCTATTACTATTCTACTTACCTGTGTCCAATTGATATGTTACTTGCAGATGTGACACCAAAATGTGTGACCTATCAGCTTCTGTGACCCAAATGTGAAGTTAAGTGCCAGAGGCTTTGTTGACATTGTGAAGCAGGTTGCAGTTTGTATAGGTTTAGGCACCAAAATCACATAGTTAGGGGTTAGGAAAACACTGTCGTTTGGGTTTTGTGACAGAATCTGATGGGTCAAAAGTTTTGGTTTTACACCAGCAAGGGCGAAGAATTTATGAAATATAACTTGTCCCTCTGTCGACCTGATACTGAAATCAAATGAAGTGGCTGTTGTTCATATGGACCTGGTACCATCATGTTAGCTGACATACTTTCTCCACTCTTTGAGCAATTTCCATACTTTTTATTAATCAAACGAAATTATTTTCCATACAGTATAGTTAAAATATTTGTATATATTAGGCACAATAAGGAAAACAAGATTGCCATGAAAAAGATAAAAACTGATTATTTAATAACCATCATAAAACAAGTCAGAAACTGGCACTGAAAGGTTTCACATAGCTACTGTATTTATACATCGTCTTCCTACATGGTTTGTTCGACACTTGACTGGTCCCATAACTTGTTGTGATGCTGCTTTTTGGGTGAGAGCACTTAAAAGCAATACCTGCTATCTCAAAAAGGGAAGACCTGGTTGAAAAAGGTGACACAGTACAGACAGGAAAGACCCTGTTATGGAGTGAGCTGAGTTAAGTACACAACATTCCCCAGACTATTTCAGTCAACAGCCTCAGGTCTGACCATGTGGAAAAGCCTGTATACCTTTTTTTAAAACATAAAAATTTAAACATTGAGAATTGCATAAAATCAGATGTTTACATCTCACATAAAAAAAATTGGGATCTTGAAGACATTAACACTGCTGAGTCCCACTCTACTGCAGCTGCATGCTGTGTGAACGCTGGTGGAATTTGAGCCCCCCACAGTTTCTGAAAGACTTCCCACACTGTCCGCAGATGTAAGGCTTTTCTCCTGTGTGGATGCGAAAGTGCCTGGTTAATGCCCCAGAGTGACGGAAACACTTGGAGCATACTGAGCAGGTGTACGGCCTCTCTCCTGTGTGGATGCGAAGGTGAGTCTTGAGGTTCTCCATGCGGTTGAACTCTCGGTTGCACTCTGTGCAGCGGAAAGGGCTGCAGCCCGGTGGGTAAAGCTGCAGTCTGGTCCTCTTACTTCCCGCTACAGGCTGTTGGCAACACTGCTGGAGCTTCTGCTGGCACTGGCCATAGTGCCGCCGCAGCAAGCTGGGCAGGTGGAACGTCTGACCACAGGACTTGCAGGCATAGATGTTGGTGAAGGTGTTGCCGAGGTTGCGGCTGGCCCGTACGTGGACTCCGTAAACCTGTGGAGGGGTTTCTGGGATGGGAGCTGGTTCAGCTGGCTGGAAGATGTTTGGGAACTCTGAGGAGAGAGACGGAAGATCTGCGCGTGGTGGGAGGTTGGAAGGATGAGCTATAGAAAAGAAAAGGCAACAACAAAAAAAAAATAAAAAAGATTCACATGTGGTGTTAAAGTGAAGGACATTTTAAGTTATCCAACTTTTTAAGTTACAGAAAATCTGTCAAAATGGCAGCAACTTGTGTAGGCTTAAATCAGTCATAACACAGCAAATATTTACATCCAGTAAATATACTGGCCATCGTATTTAAAGCTTTTCAAATGATTTGATAGCATTTAAAATGTTGAGAATACATCAGTTTATTAATGGACACCAATTCCTCAAACACCTCACTAGCACCTGACAAGACCTTTACAATCTGACCAACCTCCGACATTACACCTACAATTTCCACAGATTTAATTGGTTACACAGTGGTGTAGGCAATTCATTTAGGTATAATGTTAACATGATCACCCGTGCCACACCTATGTTACACCAACACTACACCTTACATAACTAAATTAACTTATCACATATAGATAACAGGTGTGGTGTTGAATGGAGCTGTAATGGTCAGGTACGCTGCACTATCGAGCAACGCCTGCCAGTACACCTAACATTTGGGAAAGTTCTACCTACATGTAGAGGTATGTGTGGCGCTGTCACCTCTAGTGTGGTGCATCAGTGCGGGAATGGACTTAACCTGATGCTGGCAGGTGCAAAGTACTATGTCACCACACCTGATGTGACACCTAATCGGCCTTATCCACAGAGAGAGAAAGAGTTTGACCCTTCATTAGGTCATTATTGCAAATTGCTTTTATTGTGTAATATAAAAGATTATGTAAGTAAAGTATAATGGCTTTGCTGCTAGCTAGCTAGTAAAAATGATTTAGTTCTTTTTTGACCAAGTAGAGTGTAGGCTACCATATGATCACTTTTTCATGCTCAGGACTGGAGTTCAGTTCGTTATGAGCAAAATGATACATAAAAAGAATGACAGTGGTTTATTCTAAGGCTCCAGACGCGCTGCATCAACAGATGAATGCTTAAAATATAAATCATTAATTTCAATTTAACACTACCACCAAAATCAACACAGAATTAACGTTTAATGTGATTAAAGCAGGAAAGTCAGTAAATCAGTCTGCACAGATCTATGAATGAATGTGTGCAGTTCTTACAGTATCTGCTGTCCACAGCTGCTTTATACTGTATGAAAAGCTTCTCATTCAGTTTAATAAATCCCTGCAGCATCTGAAGGCAGCAGGACTGATGGGTTCATAAATCCTATGCCTATATGATGTAGTACCGTGCCAGAGCATCGTACCATTACATGCGGCCGTTCACTGCGTTTACTTCATTAAACTCCTGCATATTACACAATAAAAGCAACATATTTGCAATAATGACACAGGCGGCTGAACAAACAGTCAACCTCTTTTTCTCTCTCTCTCTCTCAAACAGCCTAGAAGACTGCATGAATAGTGTTAGATATCACATCAGGTGTGGCGACACGTGCCTTTACATGTCACTACAACTTTTCTATTTTCTATATATTTCAAGTGGTAGGTGTAGGACAGACGTTGCTGGATCGTGCAGCACACCTGACCAATGTAGCCTCACTCAACAAAACCTGCTTCTACACCCAACAAGGTTAGATGGACTGCAAGTTACGCAGGCAGGCATCAGCACCTGAATGTGAAAAGATGATACATGTCACATGCTGATTACATACTGGTTGTAGAACTGATCAATACGACAAAGTCTATCAAAAGAAAGGAACTATGCTGAATTAGGTTTAAATGGACATTTGATCAAATTAGACATTAGCAGAGATATATTACTACTTACTTACAATTCCAGCAGCCTAAATCAGAGTTTCTCAGACATATGGGGAAACACTGCATACTTAGGATGTACAGACACTAAATAACACTGTAAATAAATCTAAATAGTTATCCCCATGTAATCTGTTGCTATAACAGGGACATGTTTGCAGATGTTTCAGACGCTCATTGTTTTCCTTCTTACCCTGAGTCAGCCCGGTGCAGGACAGAGTGTCTGAGTCTTGGCTCTGAATATCCAGCACTTCTGGTTTCCACTCCTCCAGCATGTTGGATTGGACTGCCGACATACACTCCGGGCTAAAGTCCTCCAATTTGATCGAGTCTAAACAGCAAGCTGGATCATCGCTCTCCTCTTCTGGCTTCTCCTGCTTTACTGTAAGCTGCTCTAAAATGTCATCTCCATTGGGAAGGGGTGGCGAGTTGCGGCGTTGAGCTGCCAGGTTTCGATTTGGCTGGTTAATGCTCTCTACCCTCACCACACAAACACGGGAAATGTCTTCACTGACTTCTGTAAGCAAAAGATCACAGGGTGCACGCAGTGAGCAAGGAATCATTAGATAGTTGTCTATTTTATTTACAATAGGCCTATCCTTTCTACAGATAAATGAGCAAATCTCCTGTGAACTCCTTTTAAGTGAAAAGTGCTGAGTTTGGCCGCTCCACTCAAACTGAACACCCCCTAAAAACATTTGTATTTATATGGTGTACAAATATTTACTTTAAGGATTAAAAACAGAATTTGACCTGCTGTAATAGGCCAGTGGTGATACTAAAGTGTTGCTGATAAAGTAGCAAGTGTTTGTCACTGCAATTTCACACTCATGAGTCTGCAAAATGTGTGAAAACTGCCAGCACCACATATGAACATGCAGTTTGTGCACACTTTGACCATTTGAGCCAAGTGTATTATGCTCTACTTTTGAGAGGAGTCACGATAGGAAGATTGTGATCAAACAAAATATAAATTTTAAAAGTGCTATACCTTTAATCAAAACATCACAAGCAACTGCATATCCCTGGTTTCTTTCTGGGTTTGAAGCTGCACCACTGACATACTGCATCTTTACATGCTCGCCTGATCTCTGCTCCTCATTTCTGCCCACAGGTTTATGCTGGGGGTCAGGAGGCTGGTCTGCACGGCTGTGACCTGCAGGAGGAGTGTCACCTCTGAGCCCCGCGCAACCTTGTCCATTGCCCACTCTGTGATTTGGGCTTTTTTGATGGGATTTAGGGTGAGGCGGTTGGCCTGCATGGCTGGTAGCATTCAGGTGTAGCTTTGTAGGAGGAGGGCTGCCACTTCGGTCCTCTCTGCGCGCACAGTCCAGCAGGGCTTCAGCTCTCTGCAGTTTTTGTTTGAGGGACTCGTTCTCTCGTCGCATCTCTTCATACACGTCTCCCGTCGCTTGACCCACCAGCTTAGTCACCTCTCGAACTGCGATCTCCACGGCCACTTCAAACGCCCCATGGATCGCTGCAACGAGCTCCTCTTGCAGAGACAGCGCAGCCTCGGTTGGGTTTGTCACAGACAGGCGCGGTTTGGTGTCAGCGGGCTGCGGCTTCATGGTGCATTCAAATGCACTTTTAGCTCTGTAGAATGATTAGGCAATATAAATACACCCACTACGTACAACAGTTATGGATGCCCTGTGGGATACAGCCTGTTTATAAGCCAAGCGAGAGGTTTCACTTCCGCCGACAGCTTCTGACACCTACTGGTGTAATGGCTAAACTGCACCAGTGAAAAAAACCAAACAAAAAAAACCGACAAAGCGAAATTGAGATAGTCACATTTATTAAGTTAACACGTCCAAAAGCTTCAAATCGCACTTATAAAAGCAGGCATGCTAACAAGTTTAAACAATGGCTCATCCATCAGTCACGGTTTTTATAATCGTGTAAGTGGGCAAGAATCCAACAAGCAGGTCCGAGGACACCCAGGGCCATCAAAGTCAGCACGAGCACAGATTCCTGCAGGACAGAGCCAGGTCATTTCAGTTATGAAATGAGTTGTCACTAACATTTTGAGAGCATCTTCCAGCCACTGCCAAATAAAACTTAACAGGGCTCGTTTGGAAACTTACAGCTGGGCCCACGTTATCTTTAGGTGGCTTGCCTTGGATAGAACCTGCTCGTTGTTGAATCATTACACCCGTCCTGGGAGCAGAAGCCCGTCGAACCCGCAGGAGTCCAGCAAAGCGCCCACACATGTTTGGCTTTTAACGAAAGAGGCTTCTGAGACCTTGGGGGCGCTTAAAAGTAGCTGCCCTAATACTACACACCTGCTAATTAATTGGACTGATTTTAATCAGACTGCCCTCACGTGCTTTGGGGAAAACCAAGCTTTGACGAGTTCAGGGTCCATGTGTGAAGTTCTGTGACAGTTCTTATCATCAGCATTTTTCTTTGAGATACATATGTTCTAGTTTCTTGTTCATGATGTGATACAATACTTTAGTCCATATAATGTAAAAAAATAATAAAGAGAAATAATTGTCAACAAAATAATAACTTTATAAGTAGGCGACCTGGTAATTAAAATTGATGATTGTTTTGTAGTTTCATGAAAGCACTCTCCCTCACAGAGAGAGGCAGCTCTTTCGCCAGTTTGCAAACGCTTCTTTCAGCATGACAGAGGTCAGACAAAACATCCACAGAAGCACAAGGTTGTCTTATTACCTTGCATCAGTAAAGCTTCTCCCCTCAGTGTCACAGACTGAGAGAGAGAGCTCCAAATAGATTTTATAAAAATGATGACTCCTTTCAAACTTGAAAAATTTAAATCATAATAAATTAATTCAAATACATCAGACTCTGCCAGTATAATTTGATATTTTATTCACATTTTAATTAATCATTTGCTGTAGATGTGGCTAGAAACTACATTCAGCTCAGGCTGCAGTCTGACTACCACAAAAACACACAGAGCCTCTTCTACAGTCCATTGGCCTGACCCCACCACAGATGGTAGGAAAAGGGCGCCATTTGGTGGCCAATCGTTACACAGAAAGATACATTCATACCTGATTTAATCTATTTATCATTCATATACTGTATTTACACTGACAACCCAGAGAGGATAGGCTAATTTAGGGGCTTAAGAGGATGGTGTAAAGGCCTCAGCTCATTCTGACGTGTGAATTATTTTCCAGCAGACCTCAGGATTCTCCTGAAGTTACAGTGAGAGCTGCTACTGGTAGTTACAGTGCAGACTTAAGTGCAGACAAAAATATCACAGGTATCAAATTTTTGTTGTTGTAGAAGCAATGCAGGTTGGTGCTGTGTTTTTATTGTGTTTGTTCAAATGTGTTAACCAATCAGTCAATCAATCAACCACTAATACAGTGCCTCTTATAGCTTAAAACCAGAGTATCCGTATGATAAATAGCAGGAGCCCATAATGCCTCCTTTCTGTCCTGGACTTGCTTTTGACTGTTTTTCTCCCCCTTTCTTTCCAACCAGCTCTTGCTTTGAGGTAAGCACTTCGGCACTGACGTAATTCGTGGATTACTCTTTGATTATTCCTTTGCGTTCTCCTGCAGCAAGTGGGTCGGCTCGGCATTAGCAGGTGTGAAGGTTGTAGTCTGGAAGCTGGTTAATCAGGTTGTCTGTCTGCCTGTGGTGCATGGTTAGAGTTTGTCTCATTCAAACTACAGAGGGTAAGGTAAGCACTCTCCTCCTACTATATTCTGTGTTTAAAATCATTTTGAGGTTTTTAACCAACATATTTTTCTTGCTGTAGTAGACAGCTGTGAACAGTATCAGTCAGGATACTTTTTATAAAATTAATTGAATTGAATGTGAATATGTTAAGGGGAAATTACAGGAGAAAGAGCTGGAGCTATTGGCTATTTCAATATAAAAATACTAGCATAAACATATGAAGCATAAGAATTTCATGACACCAGCTTCAGGCCGAAATAATAAGTCGATTACTCAATTAGTCAATTGACAAAAAATTATTCTGCATCTCTTGTAATTGTAATTGTCTTTATCTACCATGATATTAGATTAGATTTATTTGGGTTTTGGACTGTTGGTACGACAACACTAGCAAATTGATTCTTAACTTGGGATTTGGACAATTATGGTGGACATTTTTCACTGACCTTTTATAGCCCAAATGATTTATAAAGAAAATAACTTAGTTTATAATGAAAATTATCCTTAACAGCAGCGATTAGTTTGTCATCAATCAACACATAGGAAAGGGTGGCTTATATTATTTGTTTGTTTGCTTTTGAAGTATGTCTGCTGGCAGGAAGCTTGAGCTTTACTTGTGGCTGTGATCTCTTTAGTTTGACCAATCTGTTCTCTTTACTTCATCCCCCTTTTCAGCTTACCTTACCTTCCCCCCTTAATATTGTCCTCCTGTCCTTATATCACCACCTGGAAGCCATCCACCCTCGCAACATGGCAGAGGCCCCAGCATCCACCTCCTCTGAGGAAGGTCTGCCTGTGCAGTGGAAACTTTCCAATCGACGCAACAGGAAGCCAGGATGCTCCAACATCTTTACAGGGGTCAACCTGCAGCAGCTGCACAGGCTGTTCAGAACAGCAGGAGACAGAGACGCTGAACATCGGGCAAAGCTAGTGTGGCGAGGGATGGATGCAGATATCGAAGGAGCAGAGGAGGTGAAGGAGGAGGAAGGGGAGGAGAAACAGGACGAGGCAGGGCTGGCCCATGCCTTGGTGGGGCTCCGAGTCCGAGCAAGGAATAAAGCAGGTATCAGAGCGGTTGGACACAGAGACCACAGTTGGCTCAGAGGATCAGGATATCTCAGGTAAGTGTCAAACAGCCAGAGGCCAGCTAAAAGTAAAGGAAAAAGGAGTGAAAAATTCTCTTAATCCCTCGAAGTAATTCTCTGTTCCCCCCTAACTTCATCAACAATATTTCTACTGTCATCTTATATTTGTACAATCAGTTAAACTTGTAAATATTCATGGTCCTGTCTAACTTGAGTCCACACTCCCTCTGCATATCGAAATGCATTGTATAAACTGTCATGTGCCTAACAAACTCAGCATGACCTCACAAGACTGTGTCCTCCTCTCTCTGCATACCACTAGACACACACACACACACACACACACACACACACACTGTCATGCTGACATTCCTCGCTGAGACTAAATTAAATTTGTTGCAGGAGTGAATGAAGTGCCACAGAAAGGTAAAATGGTGGTGTGAGTCTACAGGGCAGTGTAGTAATAAAATGGTGTCTTGCAAGATTTTTTTGGCCAAGCTAGCGGCATGGCTTTAAAAATTGAAATATTAGTCAGTGTGATCCATTACGAAATATCTCAGCAGCTACTGGATGGCTTATCATAAACAAATACCTGCAAAACTAAATACATTTCAATCAGCCTCAGCTGTGCTTTATGTCTATTGCTTATTAGCAGATGTTAGCATTCTCACACTCTCAACTTTATAACATCAAATCTGTTCAACATCAGCATTTTAATATTGTTAATGTGAAAACGTTAGAATGCTGACGTTAGCTCAAGCATCGCTGTGGCTTAGCAACCTACAGCCTCAGAGCTGCTAGCATGGCTGTAGATTTTTGGTCTTGTTGTCTGCATCTTTTTCAATTCTGCAATCCTAGAGTAGCAGTACTATACCTTGTTAAAGTTATTACCATTTACATGTGCTGTATATGTAAAATCATGGCTGCATTATAATCAGAGGCTTCTGGATGCATCATCAGTGATTTACTTTATACCATGGAAACTACATTTTACAGAATAATCTTACCTCCAGGTCGATTTAGTAGCAGTTGTGGAGGTTTCGATCATCCTGAATGATCTTCATCAGTGATCTTGGAATCATTGGGTGTTTGAACATCACCCCCCCACCTCCAAGCAACCAAGCAGAGGTTGACAAGACCTCAGCTTGTGTCCAGCTGGCGAGCTAGCTACTTCCCTATGGTTCTTGTGCTTGTTAGATATTCATTAGGTCCAAGGTTTATGATTTACACAACCCAAACTCACACAAGTCAACAAAATATTATGTAACTATGTGCTCTAAGTATAATATTTACAGTAGGCTTGTAAAATTTCAACTAAACCGGAGTTACATCTCTGTCTTCCAGGATTGAGGAGCCATTATCCAGCTACACTGTTGAGGATGAAGAGCATAACATACCACCCAGTCCGGAAGAATTTTTACTAGCAACTGTGAAAGACATCCCAGAGAACCAAAATCCCTTCAAACCCTCCTCATGGCGGTTGGATTTGGCAAGACAGGAGTGTGCCAGACACTCTGAGCGCTACCTTCACCGCATCCTCCACTAAAAACAGACTTGGATGTGGAACAATAAAAGATGCAATTAAGCTGTCTGCATGAAAGGACATACTGTATTACTACTGTTAGCACTTTCTGCTAACATGTAGTCTACATGTAAGACCCCAGCATAGAGAATACCAGTGAACTATAACTATTAATCCAACTATAGGAAATTCAAATGCATATCTGTTCCAACACATGGCTTTTGCAGGAGACGGACAAGAACAGGCTGTTGGGTAAGGCCTGAAAGGAATTTCCGATGTATGAGTACACGCATTTTTGAAGGAGAACCAGGGACACAGGCTAGCTGGACAGCTGGTGCTGCACTTGCCAGAGAACTTGTGATACTGTATATTATCATGGTAAATGGGGGAGTATATTGTGACACTGCAATAAGTGTAAAATTTAGTAAAGTACTTTTAACAGCATGTCTGGCATAAGATGTTTTAAAAATGCCATCAATCACATTCTTTTAAACTCTGTATTAACTGATTTTCTGGTCACTTTGTGGCAGTGGAAAAAAGCGGTAAACAGAAAACTGAATTTAAAGTTATGGCAAACTTGTTACCAAACGGTTACACATCCAGCAGATACACAGCAACATTATCATTCATTCGAAATTGTGCTTCTGGCCACCCGGTAAATGTACATCCAATATTCACACTCCTTTTAGCTGTTTATTATCTCTACCACCTGAGGGAAATATCTGGCTCTTGCTCTGCTAAGTGCTCCACTATGTTCATCAGCTAGTTATTAACTGTGTCCACTATTTGGCACTGAGCAGGTAGTGTACAGTAGGTTTTAGAGCTTTTTCACTGAAAAGAGCTGCATGCTGAACCAAAACAGTGAAATTGCTATAAAATCAAAACAATGAGCTGAATGAGACTAAAATGCTCTATAAAGCTGAGGAGAACTAAAGAGTGACATTTCTCTGTAGGTTCATCACTACAAGCAGCTCCTTTTACATTACACATGGTCATTTGATCCATTTTTAATAAAATTTATTGAAGCAGCTTTAAAGTCATGATTTGATGGACCATTAACACATAATTGTCAAACTATCACAGTTCCAAAATGCCCCGCAGTTGTAATTCACAATTCCATTGTGATGTGTGTTTTTGCTGTCTCTTGTATCGTTTTATGTTATGTCTCATTAATGTCTGTCCATGTTATCTTATTTTCATACCCTTTATTCGAGTGTATCCCTCCCTTCAACAGGATGTTATCCTCTTGGTAGGCTGTGGTTGTAAATTCAAATTTTCTTCTTAACTAACTTGCCTGGTTAAATAAAAAATAAAATAAAAATTATACCCAGTGTACATCAACAGAATACAATAATGCACTGGAGATCTGTGTGATCGTTTCTTTTTTTGTAGTGTGACTGCCTGACTGTAAACCTTTCTCATTCACAAACACACAAGTCATTTGTATTAATGGAATATGTTTTAATTATAATCTATCATTAAATATTACATACAAATTATACAGTGCATTGTCACAATACATTTCATATCAGTTCAGTACAGCAGGACGTTACTTTGTTGTTTACTTAGGTCCACCCCACGAGCCAGAAAATGAACAGAAATCAACATGGCCGAGACGAGCAGGAGCTTGTGGACTGGGAGTGGATCCCAGGACCCCCCCTCTGCCTGCTTGCAGATGGGATAATTTTGTCTTGTTCAATGGTTTAACTCATCAGTGAAAGAAGAAAAATTAGTTGAGACAGTCTTACTTATCTCAGCTTAACAAACAGTTTGTTTCTTTAACCAAAAGTGCCTCTGCTTTCCAACATCTCCCCAGATGACTTGTAGATCCTAATCTAAACAGTTAGGAGGTGCAATGAGTGAAACCAGTTCACATGGCTTGTGTTCACTGTGTAAAGACAAACACACCATTAAGTGCCCAGTTCCCCATTCTTTAAGACCGAACCACAATGCACACTTCTCTCATTTGTTAAAAAAGAAAATACTGGTCTTAACTAGTGGCACCACTGCTTTCAACAGCCCAGGGATTTTAACTGCACGGGGGGGGAATATGCAGATGGATATTAAAAAGGCAGAGAAGGTATGAAGAAGAAATAAACATGGAATGCAACACCCCCCGTCCAAAAACAAAAGTATGTATGAGAGGCTTTTGACTGGCATGCCTGTGTGTGAGCAAACATTAAGTGCACCCAGAAGTCCAAAAGAAAAGTCTAACATCTCACTCAAATCTTTCTCTCTCTCGCAGGAAGGTAGTCTTCATCATTTAGGCATTGACTCCTCGTTGACATTCACACAAGGCACAGAAGCAAACAGGGAAGATATGCTGTGATATTCTTCCTCTTTTGTCTTCATCGCTCCACCCACTCTTTGTAACCAAAATATCCACAAGGAGAGGAGGGGAGGGTGTTGATTATTCCCATTTCCAGGACAGAAACGTGCGACCTCCAAGTGCGCCACTCCTCGCTCCTTTCTTCGCTCCAAGCTTCCTGCTGTTCCTCCTCTTCCTGCTCAGTGAACCGTTCCTACCACCAGGTGAAGAAAGGTCTTCTGCTCTGGAAACTCTGTGTGTAGGACTCACTGTTGGCTCTCTGAGGTGCTCGGGCTGTTTCAACTATTACCGGGGGCATCTGGACCAGCTGCAGGGGTGTTTTACCGTCCTTCAGGGCTTGGCACAGGTTCAGGATCTTGGGATGAAAAGGAGAAAGAACAGGCGGAACAGTAAGTTGCATATCAAACTGATGAAAAAGAGTGAACCTTTCTTACTTTCTTTAGATTTTGCTGTTTAGAGAAGAGAGGAGAAAACTCACCTGCCCCCTTAATACAGCTACTTGTTTGTGAAACTGTCCTCTGTCGAAACCAGGGTCTTTCTGTGAGACACAGTAGACAGTACACGTATGTTACACATGATGTTCACAGCCACTGAACGGAGTCATCCTCCTCTCCATCTTGCATTTTCCCTTATTTTCATTCCTAGGTCAGATTATCACATTCCACTCGTTTACATAATTACTTCACTTCATTGAAGTCACCTCACTTCATTCTGCATTGTTCTGCATACTGCAAACATTGATACTTAATTCCTTCATACCTTGAATAATTCATACAAGTCCTCTTCCAGGTCTTTGATGAAATTTGGGTCAGAGAGTTTGGGCAGGACCAGCTCTCGGATTTCCTGGGAGAAGGGAACCTTGGCCTGGGAAAGCCACGCCCAGTAGAATGGGTCTGGTGATTGGACAACAAAACTTTGTCTTAATGATTAAGTTTGCTACTTGTAAAGAGCTGGAAAGTTAATAACACAGTGACAATCCATCTTTGTGTGTGTGTGTGTGTGTGTGTGTGTGTGTGTGTGTGTGTGTGCGTATAATAGAGGTATAGAGAAAGGTTCATATATATGCTGTTTCTTCATAAGCATGAACTGCATCCTGCCAAGGGTGAGCAGTGATGGGTTAAAAACAATGTCAATGCAGGTGCTTACAGGCTCTCCACGAGTCGGGGTGTTTGAGGGGGAAGGCGAGACCATTGTCTATAGCTGCCAGCTTGATGATGGGATCCTTTACTACCACCCAGTCTGTGTCCTACAGCAATAAGGATATAGGTATAAATGAACACATATTCAGCCCTTGGGATCAGCATTTTTAAAAAAAAAATGAATGTCAAGACTCTGTGTCTGTAAGAGTGTGTGTTGTCTTTGTGTTCTCACCCTATTCCCAACAGGGTCCATGGGACAGTCATACTTCAACAACCAGTTGTCGTTTCCCCTGTCTACAAACCACCCCCCCCCCAAAAAAAGAGACTCAAATTCAAACCATTTCATTGTCTGTGACAAGCACATGAATTTCATTCAGCAATGCTGTCAGATAAAACCTGCCATGGAGGAATTCAGGAATGTGACTGACTGTATAACAACATCTTGATAACAATATATATTCTAATGAAGAAGTTCACTTTGCAGAAAAAATTGCCCATAATGATGATCCAGCCCTGACAGTGCCGACAGGGTGACTACATGCCTGTGTTTCTGATGATGTAATCGAGGACTACGAGCCGCTCAAACTGCAGCTGGAGCTGACGATTGGTGTTTTCAGGTAAAGGCTCCGCTTCAAACCTCCGCAGCCAGAAATCTGCATCCTTGTAGCCATCAACAAAGAGCTGGAAGGAACCAACCTAGTGGAATAACGACATCAGGGTATTGTAATGCCATTTGCCTTAATGCACTCAACTGAGTTAAAGGAAAAAATCCACCCTAAAACCCTTCATACAAAATTACATTTTGTTGCTTAGCTGTGTCTTCTTTTTTTAAACTGTTGTTAAGTTCAAAAATGAACTTTGAACCTTGGTGTATTTTCATGTGGACCAAAGGCCACACATAGACATTGTGACAGCAGATCCGTCTGTTGCTGTAGCAGCTAAAATGAAACTTGATACCAGAAATTAATTATTAACATTAAATATCACAATTAATGTCAATTACTGGCAACAAGTATATACCCCTTCCACCCAAAATCATTCAGAGAAAATCAAGAATTTAGAATAATATATAATAATAGAATAATAATTCTAGATTTTACTTACTTACTTATTACAACTTGTAACAGGTTAAATTTCAAGCCTTTTGAGGATGACATTTTCCTTCACTGGTCACTGGACAAACCTGCCTATTTGGTCAATACAGAAATTCACCACAATCACCTGTGTATTGAAACAATTCATCAGCTTACCTTTGGTGGCAGTCCAATCCTGTGGAAGCGCTGGCCCACTTTAGGCACCTTCTCCAGGGCTAGCCTCTTTCCTCGAGATTTCACCCTGTCTATGGCACTGTAGTTGAATGTTTCACTCGCCAGGTACACCACCTATAGTGCAGAAGATTGATTAGAGAGAGGGAGTATTTCACAAATGGTTTGTTGCTTTTATAAAGCGTAGGCAGCACAGTATACGGCTATACCTTGGTCCTGGGAACGATGTTGAGCTCCAGTTTCTGATCAACCAGGCTGGCCCCGGCCTCCGAGAGATAACCCTGGTTCAGGACCAAACAGTCGCGGCCAAAGCAGCAGGGACAACACAGTTTTTGGAGCCACTTGGTCCACTTGGGGTTCAGCTGGCCATATGGCTCTTCATTCTTAGGTTTGAACACACCAATGATTTTCTGTAAGGGGCAGAGTGGGGAAAATGAGAAGGAAAAGCAGGGAACAACAATCAGGAAAGAGAGAGCAGACAGCAGTAGTGGTTCAAAATTAAACATTTTATTCAGTGAAAACTTGTCCCTATTGCAATCCAGTGTAACTGATATGAACTGAAGTTATCCACAGCCACGGTGCTCTATAAAGTACAACTACAGATTGTCTATAAAGTATTTCATGAGCAAAAGATAGATTTTGGGTGCAGTGTCACTTTAAAGTTGCATATAGAAAATCACATGTTGCATTAGCCTAGTGTGACACACACACACACACACCGATTTCAACATGAAACCTGGTCATCGAAGAGAATTATATCCTCACAGAGAGCTGGCACATGACTATGAAGCACACTAGTGACTAACTAAAGGAACTGGAGAGGTGGAGGGGAGAGGGTCAATGCATAGAAACTTTAGGTCTAGAATACTTATTTCTGTTTTGTAAGCTTTTAGTGAGGCACATACACGGCCCAGACTATCTTATCTTGAACAGACTGAAAAAAATAACACGTGAAATGCGTGAGGATCTGGCCAGAAAACCTAAAGATACACTTCCAATTTTTCTTTATTTTTACATGGACTGAACAAAATACGCACTATAGATTGAGCTGTAGTGGGAGGCCAGTGTCTGTGAGTTGCTCAAGACTTTTACTGCTGGGCTCCAGTAGTGCTGATAAAAGTTTACTGTCATTAATCCAGCACGATTAGAAAGAGTCAAGAGACGTTGTCACAGGTGACAAATGGGGAAAAAATGCTCTATAATGGTCCATGTGTTGATTCTCTGATTTGTCTTGAATGTGTAGCAGTTTGTAAAACACTTGCACAAACAAATTGTGACAGCAGGTCGGAGGTGGACCTTCACAGACTACCTGCCTCAGCAGAGGGATCGGAGATGATGAACACCTGCCAGCATAGCCGCAGTCACATTGATGATAAAGGTGTTTTAGGGGGAGCTAAGCACCCAGATCAAGATGTTGAAAAATACTTTAATGTAAATGTTGATTATGTTTTCAGTAAATACATGAAAATTCTTTATCTATTTAAATCTGGCAGGGGTCACCAACATGGCCAGTAAACTACCCAGAAAGCCACAGAACCAGGTGTTGTGCCTTGTGTGTATGTTTTAATCTACGAAACATACTGACCAAAGATGCGTTTCCACACTGGTAGACAATGAAGTTGTATTCTTTTCTTTTTCTATTCTAAGAAATGTTTGTATATTAGTCAAAACTGTATAAATAGTAGTGTAGTGTAGTGTGTATAGTGTAGTTTAATGTTGTGTTTGCATGTCCTGCAGCCCATTTGCCTAGTCATCACAGGCCTTGCCTAGAAGCGACTCACAACAGTCCGGCAGTCCTTGCATCACACACACACTTCATATATCACAGATCAGTAATGAAAGGACCAACGGCTGCTAATCAGAAGCTGCACTTTAACAGCTTCTCTTCTTACCCCATGTGAGTCTTTGACAAAATAGCTTCCACTGGATCCTTGGTAGATCCTCTCCGGGTAGATCCCCTCCTCTATGGCTCGCTCGGCCTTTCGGATGATGTCTCTGAACTCGGGATCCTCCGGGAACTCGTTCCTGTGCGGCTCCCGCGGTGAGCTCCCACGGTCCCGGTCCAGAAGCGGCTGTCTCTCCCGGCTTCGACCCGGACTGCCAGCCGGGATACGCACCACCGAGCCCGGTGTGCTTCCAAACGTGCCTCGGGGGCTGGTGGGCTCCGTGGGACCGTAGCCGAAATCACCGGAGTCCCGGAGCGGAGAGACAAGCGGACTCGTCTCGTCCATGATTTTGGACGAGGAGTTCTTTTAATTCCTGGAGAAAGCGAAGAGAGAAAAAGGGACGAAATAGAAGAGGGACAGAAAGCAGGACGGTTGTTTTGTTGGCTAGTACTGAAGCTGGCTAACAAGGAAACACGGGAAAAAAGAAACATCAGATGACTGTCATCTTCCGGAAAGAGGCGGGATCAGTTGAGTGTTTTGATCTTTAACCAATTAGCGATCAAATGCCCCTGTCAACAACCTAATCTCTAGCGCTGATTGGACACACTCATTCCGCTCACGGAAGGCACGTGAGATCATAGTTAACCCAATTAATTACCTTCATATAAAGAAAAGCCTTTGATGAAAACGCCAACCTCATTACGGGACTGAGGAAAATGTTTAACTTTCAGTTATCAGACGGGGTAATCTCGACAGATTACTTGACCTGAGGGGATATACAAAAAACAAATTCAACTCCAAAGTGTGTTTACATCCTACACAAAATAAACCAAAACAATTAAATTTTATTAATATAAGTGATTTTACTTATCAAGGCATGTCAAATTCAAGATTCAGTGGACCAATATGCAGGAAATAGTGCACATGTGTACATACTTTATCTTTGATGGTGTCATTGATCAATGAATGAACTAAATTTGTTCAATTTTATCCCTTTGTCCCAGGCCAAGTTAATCATCTCTTCACTCATTGGCAACCAACAACATCAACCTAAACAGCTTTTTTCCACTATCAACCGCCTACTCTGCCCACCTGACCCTCCTCAACCATCTGACACTGCTGGCATCCAGGTTCCTGGAATACTTCCAGAAAAAGGTAGAAACCATCCACCAGCAACTCCAGCTCATCCCACCCAACCACACTACTGCTACTGGACATAAACTCTTCAACTGTCTCCACACCGCAGGACTGCCTCTCCTCTTTCTCCCCGCTTAATACAGCTCAAGTTCTTGAGCTAGTGTCAAAAGCTAAGGCCATGACCAGCAAACAGGATCCAATGCCAACTGCCTTGGTCAAGGCACGTCTTCCAACTCTGGGTCCCACACTGGTCAGCATCATCAACACCTCGCTGTCTTCTGGGGTGGTCCCAACCAGTTTTATAACTGCGGCAGTGATCCCTACACTCAAAAAACCTGGCCTGGACCCAGATGATCCAAACCACTACCGCCCAACCTCCAACCTACCTTTTATATGCAAGTTATTGGAAAGAGGTGTGGCTGCCCAACTCAACCATGATATGCTACATCACAACCTCTACGAGCCATTTCAATCTGGCTTCAGGACACATCATAGCACAGAAATGGCCCTCATCAAAATCACAAATGACCTTCTCATAGCAGCTAACTCTGGCCATGTCAGCATCTTAATTCTTCTCAACCTCTCTGCAGCCTTCGGTACAGTCTCCCACTCCATTCTTCTCACTCGCCTCTCTGAACTCATTGGCCTCACTGGTACTGTGTATTCCTGGTTTCAATCCTACCTCACCAACAGGCAACAATACATCACCCTTAAGGGCATCTGCTCTGAACTGGTGCCAGTCTCACACACAAAAACACTACTAAAACTGCCTTTTACTATCTTAAGAACATCTCCAGACTCCGACAGTGCCTCTTCAACTCTGTAACTGAGACCCTCATCCACTCCTTCATCACCTCCCGACTCGACTATTGTAATGGTATCCTGTTCGGTCTGCCCAGCAAGGCTACTGACAGACTCCTCCAGTATGTCCAGAACTCTGCGGCTAGGATGCTCACCCACATAAAACCTGGACTTCACATCACTCCCATCCTGAAGAAGCTCCACTGGCTGCCAGTTAAGACCCGGATCAAATATAAAATCCTCCTACTGACATACAAATCTCTCCATGGACTTGCACCTCAGTACCTCACAGATCTACTCCATCCCTACACTTGGTCCCTGCGGTCCTCTGACATGGACCTGCTTGCTGTCCCTAATTCCAGGCTCCGGACATTTGGTGACAGAGCTTTGTCAGTGCACCATCACTCTGGAATAAGCTTCCTTTTGCCATCAGCTCTGCCTCCTCTAGAATAACCTTTAAAACCCTGCTTAAAAAAAAACCTCTTCACCCCCCCTTTTTGTTTGTTAATCGTCCTTGGGTTTGTGAAAGGCGCTATATAAATCAAAGTTATTATTAATTATTATTCAAGATCAGACTGCCATTGAGCAATGGACACTATTTTGACAAAGGCACATTCAATTTAAACATTCTTCAGCAGATAACATTCCCGTCATGGATTGTGGACTCTTGACCACATTTTATGCTGCTAAAATGCTGAATGGAAACTCTGACTACCCCTTCCACTGGAAGGTCAAAAGTCAGGAATGCCAATATCTGAAGCTCTATGAATTTTTTGTCATACTCAAGCAACACTTCAGCAGGGCAGATTCTGGTTTGAATGAGGGACTGGGGAAGGATGTTCACCCACATACTGCCACACCCCAGTGCAACCAATGTAAACTTGGGCTACTAGTAATAGTAATAGTCAGAGTTTGTCATAGCTGGGGAAGTCCAAGTCACGTCCCAATTCCATGATGTCCTCATAAGTCCTCATGAGCAAACTGCAATTTAAAAGCCACCAGTCTTTCCTGTGTCTAATCATTTCTGTTAAATTACACCTCATTTACTTTAAAATCTGTGTTCCTGTTTTACTAAGTTTAGGCCTAACAATGCGTCAAAGTCACACAGTTCTAGCGTCTATACAGACACATTTGTGAGAGAGACATCTTGATTCAGCATGTCTATCTTTAGGCGATGAAGAGCAAAATGAGGCCACAGTGCAGATTACTTGTGCTGCAACTGCCATCTCAGATAATTAGTGACAAAGGGAAAGAATACAGATGTGCTGTTGTTTTAACAGTCTGTGATGTTTGTAAGCTGAGTGACTGGTATAAAATGTGTATACTGGTATTTTTTGCACTTACTTTGGTGACCATTCGTGATATTTGTTTGTGTAAAAAGGCAGTTTCCCCATGTGATGCAGGACGCACTGCTGGTTGTGTGGACGTGCGTCTGTGCGCATCCTCCCTGCCTCCCTCCTCCTCCGGCGCACACAGCTGCAGCTCTGATTGGTGGAAACCGGCAGGAAGAGAGCTCGGCTCGTGAGATATGTCAAGTTAAGACGGACCAGCCAACTCAATAAACCTACTGCTGTCACAGACTGTACCTTGAGGCTACCGAAATACTGCGCCCGCGTCTTAGTAGCCTTCTTTGGGGTTGTAGTGAAGCCAAATCTGCGGCGCCGCTGCCACGTATTAAGAAGAGTCACTTACCCCATATATTCCGGAAATACATCGCAGAGGACGTCGGTGTGAGGATGGCTGCGTACAAGCTGGTCCTGATCCGCCATGGAGAGAGCTGCTGGAACCAGGAGAACCGCTTCTGCGGCTGGTTCGACGCGGACCTGAGTGAGACCGGGGAGCACGAGGCAAAGAAAGGAGGACAGGCGCTGAAAGGTAGTGCAGATAATGTCACAGGGCATAATCGGGATTAAAGCTGTTGCAGGCCAGTGCTTATGTAACGCTGGCGGATGGGGAAACCGGTAGCAGGGCCCACTGCGACACAAGACAAGACAAGACAAGCCAGCAAGCGGGGGGGCTTAACAATTAAAATAACCTACTGGAGTGGCCACAGTTTGTGGACAATTATAGATGCTGCAAATTGTTTGATCCGACATCTGTCAGTCTGGCACAGACAACAGAGTCTCTGCTGGACCCGTTTTCCCCCTGAGCACATGATGCACCCACACACCAGTCAAGGACAGTCTGGTATGGCGGCCCCTGGTGTCATATGCTCCTTATTTTAGGTTTTCCTTACCTCAGCGATTTCCAGTAAAGACACATAAAGACAATAGTGAGGATATGTGTTTTGATACATGATTTATATGTAGGCCTATTGTGTACTGGATTTGTGAACAGCAGAGATACTTCTGATAGATGTCCATGAAGACTTCACTAGAATGTAGGAACATTTTCAAATGTACAGCTTCTGTACTCATGTGCGGTTATGAGGAGGAGAGAAGGGAAAGGCCAGGACATATTACAATCCTCCTTCCTGGTCCTCCCCATTTTTTGTCATATTAGCAGGCAAATTCTGCAGAGCCCACAGTCTGCCAGTGCCCCATGATGTACTGTTCCTGACTAAGCAAAAGCAAATCTGTAAATGTTGGGAGAGAAGCAGTAAACACTGTAAATCATTACCATTGGCTTAAGTGTATTGTTTGTAAAATTTGATTTGATGATTTGCTGTCCTGCGCTTATTAGTGAAACATCTCTCTTTGTCTCAAATGCCAATGATCATTTAATTTACCATCTTTGTCATGTCCTGTCTCCAATTCACTCAGACGCTGGCTATGAATTTGATATTTGCTACACCTCTGTTCTAAAGAGGGCCATCCGCACCCTGTGGTTTGTTCTGGACAGCATCGACCAGATGTGGCTTCCTGTCCACCGGACCTGGCGCCTCAATGAGCGCCACTATGGTGGCCTGACTGGGCTGAACAAGGCTGAAACAGCGGCTAAACATGGAGAGGCCCAGGTCAAGATCTGGAGGCGCTCTTTTGACACTCCTCCCCCACCCATGGATGAAGGGCATGACTTCTATCAGGCCATAAGCAAGGTGACACCACAGGAAAACAGTGATGTGTCTTTCTCTCATCTTCACTACATTAGCCTAATGGCTAAAACTCGATTGGCAATATTGACTTTCTCTTTTGTTGTAGGACCGGCGTTATTCCGACCTGACGGAGGACCAGCTCCCCAGCTGTGAGAGTCTCAAGGACACCATCGCCAGGGCTCTGCCCTTCTGGAATGAAGAGATTGTCCCCCAGATCAAAGATGGAAAAAGGGTGCTGATTGCTGCTCATGGTAACAGTCTCCGGGGCATTGTCAAGCATCTCGAAGGTAAGAGACATTTTGTCAAAGACGTCTATGTATTGTGCTGCAGAGATATCTACTAAAGTTGGCATGCTAACCAGCTAGCCCCGGCCTGTCACGTGTTACCCTGTACCTCAAGAGGCGATAGTCTGATAGTCTTGTTTACCCGTCCCCCTGTAGTTTCAGCTGGGAGATGTTCATTACATTAACTTACACAAGCGCTCTCAGCAAAGCGCTCTCTCACAAAATGTCAACAAGGAAATATCTATTTTTCTTGATAGAAACAAGTTAAAACGGACTAAAAACCATCTTGGTTAGTCTTTTCTCTGTTCCAATAATAACCAACTCTGGTTTGGTGGAAATAAACCCTTCCAATTTGGCATGTAAGATGTGAAAATATTCTGGTTCTACACGCTGTCGCTCCCTCTTGAATGTCAGATCTTCCTCTTCTCCTGCATGACCCCTCTCCTTCATTGTCCCCAGAGTCAAAGTCCTGGTTAGGGTTGCTGTAAATTACCTTGTTACTGTTTTCCCTGTTGTCAAACTGGCCTCCATTGGTCTTGGAGGATGAGTTCCATCCCCCCGCAAGTGTTGAAAACACTCAAACAATTGGTCATGTAACATCAGGATCATTGTTGAGTTAATGTCATTGTTTCCCTCTCAAAACAGTTGTGAACATTTTTCTGTAAGCAAGTAGTCTTTGCCATCATACTTAGTATCAGCTGTAGAGCACCTGGTTGACCACTTGAAATGAAACTCTCCTGTCTTAGTCTGACCAGATGAAAGGAGTGTCCATGCAAATGCACTAAAAGCTCTGCATGTCTGTTACCCAGGTATGTCAGAGGAGGCCATCATGGAGCTGAACCTGCCCACTGGTATCCCCATCGTGTACGAGCTGGACAAGAATCTGAAGCCTTTAGGACCCATGCAGTTTCTGGGAGATGAAGAGACTGTCAAGAAGGCCATGGAAGCTGTGGCTGCTCAGGGCAAAGCCAAGTAATAGACCCCCCACCCCACCCTGGATGTACTAGTTTTTCCAAAGTCATTTACTGTCATCACAGACACACCATGTGCACTTTATTTTGGTAGTACTCAGCTTTCACACAAACATACAATGTAGTGTTTGATTTGATTGGAATTTACTTTGTGACATACTGAAACATGCATTTCATCATTAGACAATGGAGACCATCTGTAATATAATTTTAAGCACTGACCAAAATGCAAAATTAGGGACCAGCGAAAAGGAGCAAACATAGACTAACCCTGCAGAGTCGTCCCCCGTATTCCTTACTATTTATGACCAGTGTAGGCGAAATCTCAGTGGGAACAGTATAACCTATAAAGTATTAACACTGGCTGTTGTTAAAAGGGCAGATTGATATGCTCTGCACTGCTGATTTTTGTTTGTTGTGGCAAGAATAAATGTTGAGCCATGATGTGATGAAATCTTTTTACAGCATAACTGTCCACTCGGTCCTTGTGAATCATATGGATATGGAGAATTGATTGGGCAAAGTCTCTCATGAACAATAAAAGTAAATCTGTTAGTTTTAAAGGGGTACTGGACTACATATATGATACATGACATGTATTATTAGTGAAATGATATACTGACCACAGGGAATTAAAAAGTATAATAAACTCATAAAAGTACAAGGAGATTACTGTAAAGCTGGTATTGTTTAGCAGACGTGGTGTTAAGTCACTATACTAAAAATGTATGCTGTAGGAATGTGATCATTTACACAATACGACGAACTTCATTCACCCTTGACGCTTTTTTGTATGGACCTTAGACTGACATGGGTGGTTGTAATTTTTTTTTGTCCCAACATGGATTCTTCGTTAGTATGTTTCCTCACCACAATGCAATAAATCCTTTTAGGATTTGGCTTTTCAACAAAGCAATAAATCTCAAAGTGTGCATCATATATTGCTCTAATGTGATGGCGTTGACATTTGCTAAATACACATAAGTAGCCTAATCTAAATTAATTCTATAGAAGAAGAAGAAAGAGCTGTATTGCCAAATAGCGTGTTACGCATATGAGGAACTTGCTTTGGTGATAAAGTGCTACACATAGACAAACATACAGTCGACATAAATAAATGTAGAAATATATAAATATGGAAGAGACAATGCAAGTTATATAAGAATAATAAAAATAAATAAATAAAATAAAAATATACAACAATAAAAATGAACAATTAACAACAAATATGTGCAATATGCCAAGATGATGGTGGCCAGGAAGTGGAAGGAGTCCACAGTGGGGAAAGGGGAGTCGCACAGGATGATGGACAAGGCTGGGGCTAGGCTATTTCTAAAATCAACGACCATCTCCACTGTTTCCAGAGCGTAGAGCTGCACTAGATGGTCAATCTCACACCTGTAGGCGGACTCATCCCCACCAGAGATGAGCCCAATGAGGGTGGTGTTGTCCGCAAACTTCAGGAGCTTGACAGACTGGTGACTGGAGGTGCAGCTGTTGGTATAGCTGCTTTTTACCAGTATTTTCTTTCCCTAAAATATACTGCTTTATTCTTACTCACACTTACATAAAAATGTGCATAAAAATTAAGAACGTGATTACCAATACATTGGTTCATCATTATTATTATAAGACGTTATTGCTGTAGAAGTAAGTAATTGAACATTTCGTGCTGTTCTGCTCTGAGGCAGCATTTCATGGCATGTGCCTCTCATGTGTGCCTCAACAAACATGGCGGACTGAGCTGTCCTTTTTTTTCCTCTCGGCGTGGAACCGGCCAATCAGAATCGGCTCGAGCCCTTCGTCACAGCCAATCAACTGACGAGCTGTGCTTCTCGAAAACATGTCGCCCATGAAGCTGTGTGTTCCTGGTGAGTGTCGTAAATTTGTTAGACTACTACTACTTAAGATGTAGTTAAACCAGACTCTTAACCGTTTTGTCCTTGTGTGCTCATGTTGTCTTGTGTAGACGTCGCTGTGTTGATAGAAAATACAGTTAACGTTTCACTGAGGTCTGAAGTGCTTTGTTAGTTATTTCTAGATGCCATGCTTGACGTGAGCTTAACGTTACATTAATGTACATATTAATGCATGGCTAGTATGGAAAGTGGATATTTGACGCTGTAAGTTAACGTTAGGTGCGTTCAGGAACATGACATCCCACTATTTTACGGGTAATAACCGCAACGTTACTTTAACTTTAACTTTCCTCGTACTTTCACTGCCCTGCCCATCGCCCCAGGCAGGACAGCAGCATTCCTTCTCTCACTTGTTTTGACACACTCATGCGAAATCTTGATATAAATGTGCGGATGGCAGTAGGAAATGTCAACAAATATGTTTCACGTCAAGTAAATATCCCGATGTCTGATATGTGAAAGTGGCTTGAAACACCAGTTCTTTGCAGTAGTAACATCCATTACCGTCACGTCAACGTTAAAGCCGAGGTTAAATGGATCAGAGAGACCAGATGAGTGATTCTAGAGCAGTAATTGGCCTCCTCAGATGAAGGACAGTTTTAGACAAAGTGTTACATGATGTAAGTGATATTTTCTGTGTAAACAGTGGTTCTGTATGCGTTTCATCTTTATTCCTCAAGGGTGTTCTTCAGCGGCACAAAGTACACCTGTCACCAATCTATAGCTGTATATACACTGCTTGTTAAAATTATACATACAGAGTTGTCCCCTGAAAACAGCTATGTCTTCCCCCTCTTGTCTGTCTCCAGGTGATAAGCTATGCAGCGTAGAAGACTGTATTCCCGGCACAGGAGTATACCTGCGGCACGGCTACATATACTCGTCGCTAGCAGGCTACGTGCTCAAGAAAAATGAGGGAGAGGAGGTAAGGGGTGTGGTAGTTGGAGAAAGCTCCTGCAGCACTCAGAGGTGTAGGCCAGAGGACAGGTGTTGCACAACGTTTGTGAATGTGACTCAACTGATTTGTTCAGGGCCTGTAATGATATATGGACCTTATTTTGGTGTACTGAACTGATTTTATGTGACCCATGTGTGCATTAGTACTTGTGATTGATTGATGTCTCTTTGCAGTTACCAGTGATCTCAGTGGTGAGGGAAACAGAAACACAACTACTACCAGATGTTGGAGCAATAGTCACCTGTAAGGTATGCAGTGGAATCAGATACTGTTTGTCTATACTTGGAGGATCTGATCTCTTTATCAAAGGGGTGGTTTGTCTTGAGCCCGACTGTTCTTTGCTTGGACAGGTGACGAGCATCAACCCCAGGTTTGCCAAGGTCCACATCCTTTATGTAGGCTCCACACCGCTTAAGGACCGCTTCAGAGGCACTATCAGGTAACCCCCAAACATCTGTCTTGATAGTGGAACAATGTTTTACGTTGTATTTCTCTGTGTCATTCCCAAAACTGAGTCCACTCCCTCTGACTCAACAGGAAAGAAGACGTGCGAGCAACAGAGAAAGACAAGGTGTGTTTGCATCTATGTATCCAATCAGGGCCCTGTTTCAGAAAGCGGGTTTTGTGAAAACTCTGAGTATGCTAAGCCTGAGATGAGGGAAAATCTGGGTTATCAGTTTCAGAGACCGAGATCAGATAAACCCTAGATCAGTAACCCCGGCAGCTTACACTGTGAACCTAACCTCCTCCTGAGGAGACAAATGCTGAGTTTCTGTCTGACTCCTCCCCTCCTGCGGAGCCTGAAGCGGCTGTCTGACATTTCCTCATTCATGATCTTGAACATGACCGTTTTTATGATCAATCTGTCATCGATGTATGGACAGAGAGTTATCTCCAGACATCGTGGATTTATCCTCAGCACAGAATAAAATCTTTAGGCTACACTGTCCTTTACAACACTGAGTCAGTGGACTAAAGGCAGCTTTCAGGTTGGCAACAGTTGCACCAAAATACTTACTGTGGGCTACATTACTGCAGTAATACTACACATTAGTAGGCTACTGCACTGTTTAAACTAATCTGTATAAAACTGTTCAAATAACAGTAATCTTTCATATTGTAGTCGCACTGATCGGAACATCCATATGGTATTATTATGTGGGATATGATGTGAATATGAGAGAGTGAAGATGACTGTGGTGCAGCTGAAACAAACAAATGTAGTTTAAATGTGAGTTTTTCATTATTAGGTGCTGACAATCTGAATGTGTTTTGACATAATTTCATTAAATACGAAATGAGCAAGATTTTATTAATGTAACATAGACGTCTAAAACTTTGTCAGTTTAGACACATTTTTCCCTCCAAAAAAATGAATAGGATAATCTACTGCGTCGGATTGTGACTTTACAATTGGTCCAAATTATGTCTGATCTGTTTGATGATATTCAGTTATTGCCTCTGGCATTTTTTCCCGTCAGGTTACAGCTGAATAAACAGGCCTATAGCCCATTTCAAATGAATGTAATGGGCTATAGGAGAATTCCATCACTTTATCATTCATTAAGGAAATTCAAATGTGGTAAATGATGAATGAGCAATGCTGTATAAAATGTAATATTGTTAATCTATTGATCGTTCCTATACTCCTGCATTTTAGAGCCTATGGTCCGTGTTGGCACGCATTCCTTTTTTTTTAGCTCCACCCAATTTAAATGGAGGCTCTGCCATTATTTACCTGTTACCATTGGTGAATCATAGTATCGTAGCTGCATTAATGGTGGCTTTTTCATTTTTTGCTATCAGGCTCAACATACTCCTGAACTTATTCTGATCAGCTGTTCTGAAACCGAAAATTCTGAGTCTCAGGCTCAGTCAATTCAGCGCTCACAGTTAATCTCAGAGTTTGTTAAACCTGCTTTCTGAAACAGGGCCCAGATCATCCTCATCTTTTTTAGTTCCTGTGTACTTATTGATCGAAGATAACGTGCTTAGCATTTTTGTTACAGGTGGAGACGTATAAAAGCTTCCGACCTGGTGACATTGTCTTGGCGAAAGTGGTATCCTTCACCTGCACTCGGTATTAAATACCTATTTTAAGAGTGAAAATGGAAACAATTCATCAGTTGTGAAAACTATTCAGCTTATGCACCAGTTGCCACCCTTCCCCCCATCTGAAATTCCTCAAATAGGAATGCCTTGGATAACGAAAAACAAAATCACCTCCACAGATGTCATGTTATCAGTTCCCATGATGTCTGGGAGTGTTTTGGTGTTTAATAAAAGGGGTGCGAGGATTATTATGAGTAGCAGATGCATATTTACACTTTTACTTTTACCTTTGGATCTTTACTATGAGTGAATTGACAGAGCAGTGCCACTTCAGTGGTTGGTGTGGTTGAATGTTTACTTCTGCGTTGTTAAGCCTTGACCTGTGATGTCAGATCTCTCTTGGTGATGTGCAGTCTAACTACCTGTTGACAACAGCGGAGAATGAACTGGGGGTGGTGGTGGCACACAGCGAAGCAGGTAACTCTCACGATTCCTCTTTTGTTTCTCTCAGTCAAAACACAGGAGGATTCCAGCAAAACACTGCACAGATTGAGAGTCTCCTGTTTGAACACAAGATGGTGCAAAAGTAACTGTCTATGAAACATGAGAGAAAAGGGTTACATGTGCATCTGTAGGCAGTTGTTTTTTAATATTTTTTTGCTTCCAATAACTCTTTAGGTTTTTGAATATGTCTTGTGGTGTTAATAGTGTGATGATACAATGTGTTGACTTAATTGTATCACATCTTTGTTGAATCAGGTTCCCAAATGGTTCCCATCAGCTGGTGTGAGATGCAGTGCCCACGGACACACGCCAAAGAGTTCCGCAAAGTGGCGCGAGTGCAGCCAGAGTATCTACAGGCATGAGAGCCCTGAAACGTCTTTCTTCCACAAGGAACACACAGCTTCCCCCCCAACCCCTTCTCTCACTGTCGTCGAGTAGCCTGGTTCAGATATTTTCTGAGAGACTGGACGTTGTTAGTTACTTTTGGTTTCATGTTTGTCTTAAGTGTTTTTTTAAATAGCCTGCCTTCTGCACATATTGTCATCATTTAAATGTGCCAGGTTGAAAACACAGAAGCGTTGTCGGACCAAACTTCAAAGTTGTCAGGACATATTCCAAACAACGTAGCGACTGTTGTAAAGATGTTATTAACTGAACAAAATGTTACATTGCAGCTGCCAAACTTTCTAAGAAACCTCTATGTTGGGATGCTTAACGCATCATAATTTTGCACCTAGTGAAGAAAGGCCTTTTCCACAGATGCAGGATTCCCTTAGTTTTGCTAATAGGTATTATGGCGGATCAACAGGTCGCTTGAAGGATGAAGCAGTTGGTGCAGGATGCTGGGTGCTTACACGTGTAGGGCCCTGTGTACATCACATGTAAAGGCAAAAATGAACACTCATATTCTGAGATCATTCTAAGGCCAGTGGCTGTTTTGGTCTGAAATGAGGATTCGACCAAAAATGCTGCATAACACCACACTTTGAAACTTCTTTTGCATGATGTTGTATATGCAGACGCCTTGTTTTGTTTTTTTAAACCTTGTCCATAAAGCGACATTATACCATCTCCTCAGGCTTCCTTTTCCTTACTCCTTTCCAGTTTCAACTAATGTCCTGACAGTAGTTTTAAAGGAAGGTGAATTTGATTAAGAGCCTAATGTTCAATCAGAATTACAACACAGCTACCATGCGAGGAATATTGAAGTACAATGTATGATAGTCAAATATTTCTTTCTTATCCAGCACATTATCAAAATGATTGAGCCTACGACAAGCAAAGAGAAAGTGTAATTTCCTTATTCTTTATTCACTTTACAGCAGATGGAATTCATGTGTAAGATTGAAATAAAATGACTATCAAACCAATCAATTAGTTTATTCTCTTTATCCACACTGACTTAAGATGTACATGTATTCATTTAGCTGACTCTTTCATCCAACTAGGGGTTAAGTGTCTTGCTCACGGACACATTGGTGGATGTGACACAGTGGTGAATTGAACCCAGGACTCAGACCAAAAGGCTTGTCCCATGTCTTATCACCTGCGCAAGTGACACATTGTGTCTGTTTTCCTCATGCTTGTAGCTATTATGAGAATGAAAGTAATGCAGAGGATGAAAATTTGTTTGTCTGGTACACCTTAAAAGAGAAAAAACACTAACAAGCGTAGGTGCCATGGACGTGTTAGCTCGCTAATGAAAAGTGGGACGGAAAGTAGAGCTGCAATGATTACTCTATCGAAAAATAATTAATTGCCAAACAAAAATGTCAGACGTCTGCTGGACTTGCAATTTTCCTTTGTCATTTTTGATGAAGTGTTTTTGGGTTGCTGGTTGGACAAAAGCAGCAGTATGGAGATGCAACAGTGGCTTAAACAATAAATCAAAAATAAAATTGTTAATTTTCCCCTGCAGAACTAACAAAGTGTGAACAGAGACCTAATGAAAATCCCATGACACACAGATTCTCAGTTACAAAATCAGTCCAGTTCCTTGAGCAGCAGGATGTTTAATATACAGTATGTACAAATGGCACTGTGTCCATTCTCTGATATTCATTTATGTACAAGGTGTTATAATAGTAGTCTGTTGTGGGATGTGGATTTTCCAGTGAACCTGAGCAAACAGTTCATTGTCCGAGTCTACAGTTAAAACTACACATACAAAAAAAACCTTTACAAACATATACACATCTCAAATATACAAATATTACCCCTCCAAACACTCGAAGCTCAGTCATCAAAGCGAACTGATCGACGTGTATTTATGTCAATGGAGAACTTCTTATTGGATGGTGCAGCAAACCCAAGTCCTGCCCCCCTGTTACTGAAGTCCACTCTGCGCGAGTGAGCTCGTTCAAACTCTCCCAGAAGCCCTTGCTGCAACTGCTGCTGTGCTTCCTTCCCCAAGGCCATATTTGCTCCTCCAGTGCTCCCCGTAGCTGGCTGAAAACCCTTTTTGAAGCCGCCCATCAACCGGAGGAACTTCTGCTGCTGGTCAGAGCTATCGAACTGGGCGGTGCTCCACTGACCGAAACCCTGAGGAACAGAGACAGTGGGGACAAATATTAGCTCTTGTAAAAAATATTTATTTTGATTTTTAATGTGTCCATTTAGTGTAGCTTTGTGTGTTACACTTAATAAACCTGCAGCAGATATATACTTGGGCGATGACAGTGCCTGATTAAATGTAATTAAGATGAGCTTGAACATCAACCCAGGTGGGTTTTTTAAGTAGGAAAAACAGGAGGCTCACTGTTCAGTTTATAACTAACTAGCAACTGGGACAGGAACAGAAACCCCTCAGACGTTGCCCAAGAATCCTCTGGTTTTTAAGATTTCTTCAGTATCAAATTAATTCAATGATAGCTGTGAGTACATCCAATGGTAGACAGCAAACATGAACTGTTACTAGTTAAATCGGCGAGCTGTATATTAACGAATCATACACGGATTAAAAGGTTTGGGTAATTTTTGTTCAGCTTCTCTACGCGGTTTCCACCTGACCTTTATATTCTTCGTGAGATGGAAGAATTTAGAAAGTTTCGCGGCACTGCGGAGAGCCTCCAGCTGCAGTAGGCACATGAATTAGGCTATACGTAAAACAGGAGCATCGAACGTCATCCAGCCAGAGGGAACGACCACTGTCTGTCCAGTGCGCCGGTTCCACTGGCAGCACAACGCATATTAGGTCTACCGGTTAGGGAGCGGGGCGCTGGAGTGTAGGCTACAGGGCGAGGGAGAGGAGGTTGCGGGAGCGACCTGGTGCGCTGCGGACACTGATCATTCTCTCTGGTTGGATGAAGCCCGACTGTAGACTGTATATAGCCCGATGCAGACCACAGCTGTTGCAAACAACAGGCGCACGTGTAGGTTGTGCTCCGCTCTCCTCTACAGATGTCTGTTTTTTTTTGTTTACAGTTTTTTGTTTACTGTATTTTTCCATTTTCTATTTTAAATCAGAAAAACCACAACTTGTTTTTCCAATGTGATTTTGAAACGTAATAATGAAAGAACGAATCATACATGGATTATTAAGGAGCTCTCCACTGATTTTATACATCAAGCTCAGTTTACCCATCACAAGGAGTGCTGTGGCTATGACTTGTTACTTTGATGAATCCTTATGATTGGATAGTAGCTCCACAGATTTTTCTCTCCAACTTTTGGCAAGTCCCACTAGCAACACTACTAATGTTGACGATAATGTGAAAATAATATAAATATATTTTAAATCCTTGTATCTACAGAGGACATGCAACTCTCCCTAACCCTACACAATTTAATGATTTTTAGAATTTCTTTAGAAAAAAAATATGCTATTGAATTGCATTATGGGAAATCAAGTGTTTTTTTAGCTTCACCTGCAATAGGGACTAAAAATTAGGATCTCTGCCTCTACTATATCAATTTTGCCAGTTCTTTTTATTTATTTATTTATTTTTAAATAGGCCTGAGTCCTCAGTTTCATGAAAGTGTAATACTAAATACTGGAGTACCCATTCAATGAAAGAAGCCAAAGGGGATCTCCATAGTTTTCTTATCTAATACTTACCGTAGGTTTGGCTGGTTTTTGAGGTTGAGAGGCCTGGTCAATCTCCATTTGTAAAGCCTGTCTTCGTTCCTATGACAAACCAAAATCCACTTCATTAAGCAAATTAAACAAGACATACCATTTTTTTTACCAGCACCTTACAGAGTTATTTGAAAAAATAAAACGTTGTATGAAAAGTACCATTGGCTGGCTGCTTGCAGTGGCTTCATATTTAACATACAGACATGAGTGGTATCAATGTTCTCACCCAACTCCCTTCCCAAAATGTCAAACTACATTAACGGCCAACATAAATGTCACACTTAAAAAGGTGATGGATGAGAGCCGTGTTTACCTGGTTGATAGTGACCTCATCAGAGTTTCCAGTTTTTTCTGACAAGAAGACCACGTCCACTTGGGGTGATTCCTGAAACACAACAAATCACAAACGAGGTTCACTGCCAGGCAAAAAAAAAAAAAAAAAGAAAACGACGCAGCGTCATTGGCCTCAGACACACACTTACATGTTGGTCTTCCACCTCTTCTTTAATCATCTTCTTTTTCGTCTTCTTTTTTGCACTAGTTTCAAAACTCACATTCTCCGCTTGTGTTTCCACCTTAATGGAGCTCTTCTTCCTTTTGCTTTTCTTGCTTGTTGAGTCCCCAGCTACTGTGACAAGAGTTTCTGTACTCTGCACCTCAACTTCTTCACATTTGAGCATAAACGGCTCATCCTTCTCTCTGTTTTTCCTTTTCTTCTTCTTTGGCACTGTGTCCTCTACTTCGCTGACCTCCACAGAAGCTTTTCTACTCTTGTCTGTTTTCCCTTTTTTCTTTAGCTCAGTCTTCCTTTCGTCTATGATAACAATTTCACTCTCTGTGGATTTGTCTTTCTTGTTGAGCATAGTGTGTTTCTCCACTTTGCTACTTTTGTTGTTGCCTTTGATCTGAGGTTCTTCATTTCCAACTTTCACCCTTTTGGCTTCTTTCTTTTTGTTCTTTTTCACTTTTACCTCTTCAACCGCACCAGTCTCTCCCTCTGATGTTTCTAACTTCACATCATTCTCAGCCACTTTTGTTTTGGCTTTATTTTTCTTTTTTGTTGTTTCATCTGTGCCTTCAGTTGCTTCCTTTTCAGTCTTTTTCTTCTTCTTTTTTTCTTTAACTTGCTCCTCAGTCTCTTCTGAGCTTTCAACTAAAATATAGTTTTTCGTCTTCTTGGCTTTCTTTGACAGTTTATCCTTTCCAGCTTGCTGTTCTTCCTCCTCATCTTTTTCTATCGTTTTATTTTCTGGTTTCATTTGTACAGACTTTTTTTTAACTTTCTTCCTCTGATTCTTTCCCATTTCTTCTTCTTTTACTGCACTCAGTGCAGTTTCCACTTGATGTTCAGCCAGCTGCTGCTGCTTCTTCTTTTTGCGGACTTTCTCGTCATTTCCATTCTTAGCATCAGGCTCATCTGCATCATTCAGAGTTTCAGTGACAATCTTCCTCTTCTTTTTCCTCTTCTCTTCCTTTTCACCACCTCCATCACACGACTCATCTTCTATGATAATTGTATCAACCTTTTTACTCTTCTTCTTTTCCTTTTTCACCTTTGCTAGGCTCCCATCATCAACAGTACTGTTTCTGTTTTCAAGCAGAGAGACTTGTCCTATCTTGAGTTTCTTCTCCTTCTTTACAACATTCTCCTCACCCTCCATCTTCATTTTCACCATTTCCAGTGGCCTCTCCACAGCAACAGACCTTTGGCTTGTCTGGTGAGAGAAATACAATTACTGCAAGACAATACCTATTGATAATATATTAAATTGCAAAACCAGGCTCATTGACAATGTGTTTGTGCAAGTGTGCAATAGAGCAACTAACACCTACCAAAGGTTTGGCTAACTGCTTGGGCTGGGACTGCTGATCAATGTCTCTTTGCAGGGCCAGTCGCTTCGCCTGCAGGGAACAGAGCAGAACAAACACAGAGTGCATTGGAGTCAATTAATATTTCATCTATCTGCAAAGTTGTTTTTCACACCTTGTATTCATGTATCATTCTGCTTGTGTCTGCCAATTCAAGCTCTGCTGCAGGTTCTACTGATTATCCTCAGTTGTGGACTACTCACGCTTAATTTGTGTTACTGTTAAGCACACGGTCACACCGTAGGATCTGCATGCATGGTCATGTAAAGTGTGTCCAATAACTTGTGTTTCAATCCTGGATAATTATTCTACCTAGCATGTGTTCATCGGTCAGCACAAATTATCCTGATTCAAACTTGGATATCTGAAATCAGTACCTGGTCCAAGGTGATCTCATTGGATTTAAGTGCACACTTTGAAGAA